CATTTCTTTTTCTCACACAGGAGTGATCACAAGCTGTAGACCCTTTCCTTTGATTTAAGTGTCTGTAGTCAATGAAATACTGAATGTTTTAAGCTGGCGAATAACAAGATAGATCAAGATAGGCTCTGTCTCCTTAGAGAATGATCGGTTCAGTGATGAACAGGTGGATAAGATGAAGGAATGGGAATGGTTGACGGCTCTGGATGCTTGTAAACACTCGGCCAAAAGGATGACCCAGCCAAGGGTAGTTATCTGGGGATGGGACAGAAAGGAATCCGGGATATATAAGGAGTAGAACTTTGTTGAGGTATGGAGCAGAGATAGTATGACTTTGAGATTCTCAACTGAGTAATGGATGGTGAAAGAATTAGAAATAATAGATAAGGATAGAATAATAGAAAAGATATAAGGTAAAGGTAAAGGCCCTCCCGTTGTTCATCGATTTGCTCGAGCGGGCCCAGTAACGTCTCCATTGGAGATTTTGTTGTTACTGTGTTTGGCATATCGAATACATCACGGGTGGCTTGCCAGGCTCTGCCGTGCGGGCGAGATACTCTCGGTAGCTTGCTGGGCTCTCCGAGAGGGGCGGAGGAATCGAACTCGGGTCGGCCATGTTGGCTGCGTGCAAGGCAAACGCCCTACCGCTATGCTATGAAAGATAGCATAGAAAAGATATAGAAATAGAAAAGATAATAGAATAAAAATAGATCATAGAAAAGGGTTGAGGGAGAGGCTAAAATGTGAGACATAAAATACGTTTAGTGTTTCATAAATTTTCTGTAATTTTTGGGAAAGAGCTAGTAATTTGTAAATTCATTTTATTGAGGCAGTGGATTATGATGAAAACTCTTGAGTTTAAAAACAGCAGTATAGAATGAGGGATGGAGCAATCATGCAATGGGTAGGGTGTTTTCCTTGCTCGCGGCTGACCTGGGTTCAATTCCTCCGTCTTTCTCTCGGAGAGTCCGGCAAGCTACCGAGAGTATCCTGCCCTCATGGCAGAGCCTGGCAAGCTCCCTGTTACATATTCGATATGCCAAAAACAGTAACAACAAGTCTCACAATAGTGACATTACTGGTGCCTGCTTGAGCAAATCCATGAACAGTAAGAGGACAGTGCTACAGTGCTACAGGATTCCAAGATTTGGGAATTGAACCCAGTGCCTCACTCATGCAAGGCAGGTTATCTAGTGCTGAGCTATGTCCATTCTCCCATGCTGATGACTGTTTGCTTAGCTATATCAAAGTAATTTCCTCTCCGTAATATAACAAGTGCTTATGTGTAGGTGCTAGTCTAGGCACTGAAGATGAAGAGATTAAAAAAGAAACGCAAATATTTCTTCCTCAAAAATAATCAAGTTATGGTGGCAAAGGAAGACAAGTAAGTCTGGGATAATGCATGATGTATTAAGTCCCATGTTCAGTATCTGTGGCTATTGGAAGGGTACAGGAAAGGGCACAGAAAATTACGTCGGGTTTGAGTGGTAGTACAGTGGGTAGGGAACTTGCTTATAGTCTACCCAGGTTTGATCCCTAACACCCCATATGGTACCTCCCCGGGAGTGACCCCTGAGTGTCCCTGAGTGCAGAGCTCAGAGTAAGCCCTGAGCATTGCTGGATTTGGCCCCCAAACAAAAATAATAAAAAGAAAGAAAATGACACCACAGAAGTGTAGGCTTGGTCTTGAAGGGAAATGTTATCTCTTTGGGCAAACCTTTTAATCTATGACAAACTTCCTAATTCTGCACACTAATTCCCCAACTATGTCACCCAGTGCTTTTTTCCTGTACTGTCAGCCATCTATTTACCCTTTCAGTACTGCTAGGGATTTTAATTTAGGGTGCGAAAGATCGCAGTGTAGTCAATTGACAGCTGTTACTGCTGGTTGACAGAAATGACTTAATCAGTATGTTTGTGTATGGCATGCTAGACATGATCTGCCACATCTCAGTTTTCCTACTAGATCTGCCCTAACATTTTCTTGGGACCCAACGGGAGGGACCAGAGCCAGAGATGGTGACCCAGATCTGTGATGGTGAGGAGGATTGTTCAAGTCATTGGCTAGGACAGCAGAAGGAGAGGGAGGGGATGGAAGATGGAGAGTAAAGAGTTAGATGGGCTGGAAGTATGTAATCCTATACACGTCGAGAAGCCTTGAGTTGCCCTAACGAAAATTACAAACAGCAGGAAAGAGAATGTTTCCCATAAAGATAATGTCCATCGACTTCACTTAGCTTCCAGTAGTGGTTCGTTTTTGAAAGGCTGCTTTTCTATTGGTGTTACGTCAGCTAGAAATATTTTAAGTGTTTTTGGAGTACCCCTAACCCCTTCTCCTGACTTCCCTCATTTCTGTGTGCTTCCCTTTCCAGATCCAGCTAAATCTATTTTCCAGAACACCACATCTCCCTCTCTTTTCTCTTTATTGCTTTTTGTGTGTGTCCCCAGGGTGTTCTGTACACACACGTTTTTGTATCATTTGGCTTATGCCATTAATACATTTTTTGTTTTTGTTTATGTCTTGTTTTTTATTTTAACCTATTTCTGGTTTACTAGGCTCCTGGCCCTTAATGGCAATGAATGATAAGGACTGTGTTCAAATTTTTCTCTTCCCAACTTCATAGTTTTTAAATGTTAAATTAGAAAGTATCAGTATATTTTGTAAAGCTTGAATCTCAGTGCAGTTATATCTTTAGATGTGAACATTAGAATTTTAATTTTTTGTATTTAAAAGTTATTAAACAAAAGTTAGTGTGCTTATTTTCCCCTCTGAAATTTGGCTTTGATAAAAAAAATTTCTTGGAAAGTTAAAGTTGATATGCAGATTTCAATTGTGAAACTAAGTATTTGTCTTGTGTTAACTGTATGTTAGTACAGGGTTGACTTATTGTCTTTCGTTATGCTGTTATAAACATCATATTCACAGTTGTGTGAAACAAAGTTTAATGAGAAGCAGGGACTGATACTGACTTCATTAATATGAATTGGTATTTAAATTAGACACCTAAGTATTAGTGTCAAATAACATGATAATTAAGAAGCAAGCAGTATAGCTTCTAAGCTGATAACTCACTGTTCTCTAAAATTTATTTTAGACGCAATTCTTGAACTAATGTCAAAATAAAAGGAGCACAAATCACACTATTTTTGGTCTTAAAAATATAAGAATTCAGGTAGAATCAAAGTTTAAAGTTATCGTCATATGTATGGTTCTCCAGTTTTTTTCTTTTTGTGGATAGGGAAGGACTGTTTTAGTTTATATATAGATAAAGTAGACCAGGCCAAGTCATTTTTAAAATATAAAATTGGGTCATGTGCAGAGGTACTGGTCCCAATTCAGTTGTTAATTATTGATATATGTGGCCCATAAAATATACTTTGCTCTCCTTTTAAAATATTTCTTATGAAGAAATCCATTGTTTCTTGTTGGTAACAATTCATAAACAAGCTTGCTCAATTGAAGGGCATCATACCTAAGTCATCTTACATATATTAGAAAACTTAATTTTTACTCGATTCATGTATTAGAAGCACACCTTTCTTTTTGCTTATTTTTGTGGAGAACGAGCCTCCAAAACAGTGCTCTGGGGGCTCCTCCACAGCCACTGGCAGTATTAATCATCAGCTGGCTCAGTGCTCCTTAGGGGGGCAGGTCCAAATGATGCTTCCCAGTCCGGCCCTGCAGTGCTCAGATGCTTTCAAGGCTACTGGCCTGGTGGTGTGAAGGAGGAGAGAGGTACCTGCTGTCAAACTCTTGCTTATTTTTCAAACTCTTCTCTGACTTTTCTGCAGAGATGACAGGGTTAATGGTAACATGGATCTCAGTGCTGCAGAGTGTTATAAAAGATATGTGCTTGATACATGGTGCGAAACATTTTCTCAGGCATGTGAGACACATGCTTTTAACAGCTAGAATTCTCAGTCAGCATGGTTTGCATTGCCTTCCTGTGAAGGGTAGCGTTTTGTGCTCTTGCCTGACATCTAGTGAGATATTGAAAAACAGGAAGAGTTGTATCTCAAGAGGGTGAAGCAGGTATGTGAGAGCTGGAGTGGCTGGTGCAATCCTCTGCTACTACATGGTCGCAAGGACCACCAGAAGTGATCTTGGAGCGCTGAGTCAGGAGTAGCCCCTGAACGCCACTGAGTGTCCCCCACCCCCCAATAAAAAAGTGAAGTAAATCAGTGAGTTACTGCAAATTCTCATTTTCCATTAGTAAGAAATTCATAAGAAAAGTAGTAAGAGGAATGATTTGTTTACGGCAACTGAGAAATCTGAGATGGAATTAGAGTGCAGTCAAGTCTTACTTTATGCATTTGTTTTCTCTTTAATGTTTGTTGCACTTGTTTTGGGGTCACCTCCTGTCTCTGTGCTCAGAGATCACTCCGGTGGTGCACAGGGGGACTGTATGGAGTTCCAGAGATTAAACCCGGGTTGGCTGCAAGCAGTGCAAGTGCCCTGCCCACTGTCTGTCTCTTGGCCCCTTTATCTTTAATGTTTTTCTTCGACTTTGGATTTAACATTAAATGTAGATTTTGGGTAATTTTTGGAATAAATGCTATTGCCCTTGAGACTTTTTGTATTTTTAAAAATTGCTTCAACTCACTGAATTTTATATTTATGGGAGATCTTGCTGTTTAACCCAGTTTTTTAATCTACGAAGATTTAAAAAATCTATTTCAAAGAGATGAAATGACCAAATCCAGTGCCATAACAAGTTTGTTACTGCTGGATCGTAAATTGTAACTCATAGCTTTTGATTTCTAGACAAATACTCCTTCATGGTAAGAAACAGTACTAGGCGCACTTCAGAGTTAGTGAACGTGCTTCCATGTGTGTGTGTGTATCTATTTTCATCAGATTGTGAATGTTGAATTACATTTTCAGAAAAAATTGCACTGTGTATGTTTTTAATGAATTGGTATATACAATAAATTGTGTTTTGTTTAATTTTAATTTCTATGTATATGCTAGTTTATAGCTGAATATTTCAAAAATTTTACAGGCAACAACACCTCCAAGTCAAGGACGGCCAGATTCTCCTGTTTATGCTAATCTTCAAGAACTGAAAATATCCCAGTCTGCTCTTCCTCCTCTCCCGGGGAGCCCCGCGATTCAAATTAATGGAGAATGGGAAACGCATAAGGATAGTTCAGGGCGCTGTTATTACTATAACAGAGGAACGCAGGAAAGAACTTGGAAACCCCCTCGTTGGACCCGGGATACAAGCATAGGCAAAGGAGATTTCCAAAATCCAGGAGATCAAGAGGTATGAGTAATTAAGGACCATAACCCAATGGTGAATAGGTGCTTATTAGTGTTAAATTGATAGACCGTTTGACATTTTTTAGATATTCAAAGTTATTTTTTGTATGAATGCTCTTTATTTCCAATAAGGCAGTTGCTAACCTTGGGGCACTTCAGAATTAATTGGATTAAAGTGGTCTAGTGTTAGTAGTTTTCCTCAAATTAAATGGCAAATGGAATGAATTCAGTCATTGTAATTGCTGAAGCAGTAGCAGGTTTAAACCAAAAAGAAAAGGAAAGAAAATATATGATGTGACCTAGACAGATAAGTAGAAGCAAAGTTAAATAATTTAAATGGTTTTTTTCCTGTTGGTTTGGTAGAGCTACAAAGATACTTCTCAGTTTTTGTTAGGGCTACAAAGTCACTGTATTTAAATGAAGTTTAAGACATGGCCTCCAGATGGATCATGATGTAAGTCTGATAAATCTACAGAAACTTCTGTAGAATTGATCGAATGGAGTCAGTCAGTTCCATCTTGCTGTTGGGTAGATTTGGGTCCCTGTGTAGGACACAAGGACACCCTGTTCTCCCAGAAAGCAGCTCTGACTTGTATAATAAAAACGCAATTCCTAGTTAGGAGCTGGAAAAACCAGGTAATGCTTCCGTATATAGCAGAAAGGAAAAGCTTTTTGTAGCTAATAACCCCTCCTGTCCCATTTTTTCAGTTGGTTATTTATAGCTTTGGATTTGGTGGTAACTTGTATTTTTTATGTTCACGAATGAGAGAACAGTGAGAGAAATTGTTCATGTGTTACTATACTATAATTATGTGTTAGGAAAAAATCTTATTTGAATTGTAGATCTAGAAAGATGTGAAAATAACCTGTACTGTGTGTCAATAAAATGAAATTTTCTGGCTTCGGATAATCAGGAGGACTAAATTGCAGAATAAAGGGATTAGAAAGCACACACACTTTTAGCACCATGACTCCTGTCTTTCTACTTTAATAAGTAAATGAAAGCGATTTGCATATCAGTTTAGACTGGTAGTCTATACACAAATCAAAATAGATATTTCCAAAATGATTAGAATACACTTTCCAGAAACTTCTTGAGAAGGTCAGTTACACGTGAGAAATAAACCTTACACTGTGTGTGTGAGTGTGAGGGTGTGTGAGGAGTAGGGAGAGCTGCAATAGGAAGAGGGGAGAGGACGGTGAGGGGAGAGAGTGATGGAATCCCATGTGGTGCCAAGAACACTCAGTTTGGGCCCTCAGAAATTATTATTTCTCATAGGTGCAAGCGTTTTGAGCTTCAGTTGTTTTTCTTTAGGGGGAAATTCTACAGTTTTAAAAATCACTAATATTTTTCTTTCTTCATTTTGGCTTTTTGTTTGCTTGTTTTTTTGGGGGTGGGGTGGGGGCTACACCCAGCAGTGCTCAGGGCTCTTAACTCCTGACTGTACCTACTCAGGGGTCATTTCCCACAGGGATCGATTGGGGAACCATATGTGGTGTCAAGGATGGAACCCGGGTGGGCTGAGTGCGTGGCACTATCCCTATCTCTTGCACTATTGCTCTGCCTCCTTATTCTTTTCATTGGAAACTAATCCAGGTCTTCAGAATTTTCCAGATTTTCTAACTAGAAGGTAAGGTCATGGGAGCCACACAGTTCGTTCTTCAGCAACACCAATGAACCCGTGCAGGTTTCACAGTTACAGAGGCAAATGCTGGTCCCGCCTATACACTATGGCAGCTGTTTTCCCTCTTGAGAGGGATAAATAATCCCTTCCTCTGCCAGGGTGAGAAAAGGATGCACTTAGTAGCCAGGCATGATGAAGGGGATTGTGGGCATTGGCGACCTCGCTGCAGTACCCCTGCCTTGACCTGGGTTCCAGGCATGCTTACTGCTCCCTCCTTCACTGCCCTCACCTGAGCCATTTGAAGATTCTGTTCTGTAAGTGAGGTGCATTTCTTCAATCTTCCCCCATTCGACTCTTTATGGGGAATGGTTTAGGCTTTGGCATATTTGCTTCTCAGCTTCCAGACTTTTTGTGACTGTTGTTTCTTCTTGTATCTTGTTTGTATGGGTTCAGATTCTTCTAAGCATGTGTGCTTTTATTTTAGCGGGATTTCTGAGAGCTAGTGTTAACTCTTCCATCACTCAGACTTATTTTAGCTGTTAACCTGGAACAGTGTATTTTAACTGGGGATAGGTTTGCCTCCCTGGATGACCCTAGACACTGTCTGGAGACAATTTTGCTTTTAACTTGGAGAGTGCTACTAGCATTTAGTAGGTGGAGACCAGAGATGTTGAATATACTGTCATACACAAAGTAGCTCAAGCACAAAATTATTTTCCCCTAGATGTCTAGAGTGTGACTGTTGAAATTTAACATACATACTTAACAGAATCTAAAGTTAATTATTATCTTCTTTCTCCTTAAAGTCCTACAGGAATTATTTGAGTTGTTATGCTCTTGATGTTTTAGATTTTATTTCTATTTTTAGTTGTCTTATTGTACATGGGTGACTCAAGATTCTCATGTTTACTGCTTCCTTGCTTACGTTTCTTTATGCAAATGTGGTTATCTTGGCTAACTTGTACTATCTTAAATATATACTTTCAAAGGGTGTTAATGATAGAATGTTGATGTTTGTCTGGAAATGTATTTGTCCTTTTTTGAAGAGCATCTTCATTGTGTATACAATTATAAGTTGACTGGCGTGTTCACTGAACACGTCATACCATATTGTCAGTTTCCTGTTTTTGGTGTTGAAAGTTCACCTGCCAGTCTGATTGGCTTTTCTTCAAAGGTAGTTGATCTCTTTCTGTGCTGTCTCTTGGGGCCCATATCTGGCAGTGCTCAGGAGCTGCTCCTGAAGCAGTGCTCAAGGGTCCCTTCTGGTGGAAGTCAGAGGAGCAGCGGTGCTGGGGAGTGAGCCCAGGCCTCCTGCGTGTGCTCGGCCTGCTGAGCCGTCTCTGGCCCCAGCTTGCCTCATCTTGCTGCAGCTATTAAGACCTCTCTAATTCTCCCAGGGTGTGATTAGATAAAGGTATTTCTTTCATTTCCTGCCAGGGCTTTGTTGGGAGTCCGGAGTTTGAGGACTCCTATCTTTGATCAGTTCCGGAAAATTCTTCACTACTTTCTCTATATAGCATCCTTTGCACTTTCTCTTTCCTCTTACTGAGGACTTTGATTAGGCAAATGTTTGTGGGTCCTGTCTGCCCATGCACCCCATTCCCACTCCCTACCCCACCCACCAACACACACACTCTGAATTATGTCTGTTTTCTATTTGCTTCATTTTCAAAAATGTCTGGTTCTGGCTCTTATCAGCTATTGTGTGTTTTTTAGGCCCCATAGGTAACTTCTTTTGATGTTAAAGTGATCCTTGAATTAAAGCATTTTTTTCCCTATCTTGTTTGGGGGTGTTTCTCCTTCTTATTACTATGATAAGTTTTAGCCTACAAGAAAAGGTTGAAAGAATAGAATAATAAGCACTATATCAGATAATCCTTTATCTGGATTTGTCAGTGAATATTTTTCTTTTATTATGGCTCTCCATCCTTCTCTTTACACACTTTGTTTTTTTTTTTTTCTTTTTGGCTTTTGGCTTTTGGGTCACACCCGTCGATGCACAGAGGTTACTCCTAGCTCATGCACTCAGGAATTACTCCTGGCAGTGCTCGGTGGACCATATGGGATGCTGGGAATTGAACTTGTGTCAGCTCTGTGCAAAGCAAATACCCTACCCGCTATGCTATCGCTCCAGTTCCTCTCTCCACTCTTATAGTTTTTCTGAACTATTTGAAACAGATAACATTTTTTAAAAAAATTTCTAGTTAATAGGAAATTTTTCACCAGAACCTGTTTTGGGTGGAAAATGCATTAATCACAACCAAGAAATTTGGTATTGCTTTGTCATTTAATACAATTGACATTAAGTGTTTCTAACTAGGTAGAATTGCTTCTAGTTTTGGGATTTTTTTTCTTTAAATTTCTTTTGCAGTGAAGAATTTACTTTGCATTACATTTATCTGTCCTAGTTTGGTTTTATTTTAATATCTTTTAATAATTCCACTATATAAAGTCTTTGAGAGTATATTGTCTGCTTTTCTGCTGACTTCACTGCTTTGGTTTATTGTGTTTGTGTGTTTGTGTGTGTGTGTATATGTGTATGTGTGTGTGTGCACATTCAGCTTAATAGTTCTTGAAAATTCATATGTGAAAGTCTTTACGGACTTGAACAGTAGTATAGTGCATAGGGCGCTTGCCTAGCACACTGATCCCCGGCATACCATGTGGTACCCTGAGTCCACCAGAAATGATCTCTGAGCACTGGTGGATGTAGCCCAGAAACAACAACAAAAGAAAGTCTTTAATGTAGGGATAGAAAGTGCTTCATTTCTTCAAAGAGAATTTACTTTTGTTTCTGCCATGCATCTGGGAAAACTATTATCCTGTGAATATTTGAAACTAAATTTTCAGCATTTGTTTTCAAATGCCACTGTGGTAGTAATACTTTGAATTACATGAAGACTGGCTTATAAGGGGGCTGCCCCCGTCTGTGGGGAAGATTCCCACCATTTACCAAGCGCCGGGTGAAGAGGCAAGAGATGTTTCTGGTTCACCCATAGTCTGCAGTTAGCCTCCTTTGGAACTGCAGCTCTGTATTGTGGCATATCCTTTTAGATTTCCTGCCTTCCGTGGTCCTAAATCTTCCCTACTACTTCTGCATGGCCTTGAAACCACACTTTCTCCTTCTGGGATTGGCAGAGGCCTTTAAGAAAAAAGCTGATCACTATTCTACTTTTCATTCCGGGTGTTGCTCATACTTAATTTTTGTCTTCTGATTTTTTCTTAGCCTTTTGCCCATTGATGATTAAAAAAGTAAATTTAGTATTTTGACCTAACTATTAGAGTGGGAGAAAATATAGTTTAATTGATTGAGATTTAATTGCAGGCACTATTTTGCCTTAGAGTGCCATTGGACTAATTAATAAATATTTGATGAGAAAATGAAGTTTTAAGTGCATTAAATTGATTTTAATTCCCTCTTATTTGAAAAAGTAAAAGTTCTTTAATTTTCTTAATTTTAATGTTTGCTACTGTTATATGCCTGGGTTTATTATGTAGTTTTGTTGTTGTTGTTGTTAATGTCTGGGATCACACCCAAAGCCCTGTCCTTGTGAAGCATGTACCCTGTACCCTCAGTCTGGCAAGCTTTTTTCTGCTTTGTTTGTTCTGGCGGGGCTCCCTAGCAGTGCTGGGGGATTACATGGACACCAGGCAGTGCTTGGGGGTCCATAAGGTCCTGGATATCACACCCTGGACTATAGGCATGGGAGCTATCTCTCCAGCCCCTGCCATGGAGTTTTTTTTTTTAAAGCAAAAAAGTTTTTATTCAAGCTGATTTATAAAGATGTGAGGGGAGAGAAAGAGAGAATTTCATGTTTGTGAGAGAACACAGGCTTCTCTACAGTGGTAATAGACAAGCAACATATATTGAGACAAACAAGCAAGTTTCATGTAGATGGGAGAAATGGGCTTGAAGAGCAGGCCACTCCGGACATGTTTTTATTATGTTTTGTTTGGGGCCCATCCCCTGCAGTGCTCAGGGTTTACTCCCTGCTCTGCACTCAGGAATCAAGGGAGCATATTTGATGCCAGGGATACAACCTGGATTGGTCGTGTGCAAAGTACACACCCTACCTGCTATACTATCTTTCCAACCCCAAACCCTGCCATGTTTCTAAAGATAAAGCAAACTTCAATTATTTCCACACCAAAATTTCTCAATCTCTCAGTATTTTAATTTTTCAGCATTAATCTTGTGTTTGTAAGCTAGTTTCCACTAGTCTTTTTTTAAAAATTTTATTAGTGAAACACCACGAGGTACAGTGTAGACTTACAAATTTTTGTGCTTGGGTTTCAATTATACAATTATCGAACACCCATCCCTCCACCAGTGCCCATTCTCCACAACCACGAATCCCTATATCCCCCCCCCCCCCCCCCCCCCCCCATCCCACCCTGCCTCTGTGGCAGGGCATTCCCTTTTGTTCCCTCTCTCCTTTTGGGTGCTGAGTTTCCACTAGTCTTTAAGAAGCATTTGGTTGAGTGAGTTAGGAAAACTTATCACCATGTTTGAATATAAGATATAATGATGCAGAGCAATGTTTTTTCTCACTCCTTCTCCAGGATACTTAAAAAAATTTAGTTGAAGATATAGTTATTGAGCACTGTTTGCCAGATGTTTGATTAAATCCTTGTGATAGGGAGTTCAAGCTCAGCAATTAATCAGATCACCTCCTTCCACAGATACATATATGTACATACATAACTCCATCACATCTTAATCTAATTTTAGTTCAAAAGCAGTGTTGAATAGTTAGTCTCTCAGACTGTAAGATCGTTCTCAATCTTCTCACAGTGGTTTTTTTCGAGGGCTGATGTGATACAATACTAGTTTCATCAATATGCCATTTAAAAACTTTATAATTTGTTTCGATAATTAGATGTTTGAATATATGTAAGATCTAGGTATGTATAAAGTTGATCTTAGATTTTTCAACTGCTGCTTATTCAAAGAAGAAAAATCCTATGTTTCTGACTATTTATAGCTTCTTTCGTCAGAAGAAAACTACCCCAGCCTTTGTTTCAGCCAGTCAGATAGTCAGTGTGGTTCTCCTCCAAGGGGTTGGTCAGAAGAGCTGGATGAACGTGGGCATACCCTATATACCAGTGACTATACTAATGAAAAGGTACTTTCTTCTTCTTCTTCTTTTTTTTTTTTCCTCATCTAGTTTTCTTGGCAGAATCCTCTCGAAGGAGTTGTGTTCTGTAATTCTGTAATTGTGCCAATTGACATGAAAGCAGTATTAACTACTGATTCATGGTTTTAAAACTACTTGCAATTATAGTGATTTGGTGGAGGCGGGTGATGAAAAACCCATATAAGACAAATCTTTTTAATTAAAAAAATTTTTGTGTGTGTGTGTGGTGCCTGGAATTGCATAAGGCAGAGCTTTGTCAGGGCAAATAGCAGAGCTGCCACAAGTGTGATGGGACATGGGCATTTGAGTTCATGACCATAAACTTGCAAGGTTGCAGGGCAGGTGCTGTTCTCTCCAACACGAGACAGAACGTTATAAGAGGTATTTGTTGAATGTCGTTCTGTTTAGATTTCTGAAATGAATCTATATCTTTCATCAGTTTTTTGGGGGAGACTTTTTTTCTGCATGCTATTATGAGTACCACATCCCATTCTATACTCCTTTATCTTTTATATTCAATTATATTCAAACAAACCATGAATCTAGTACTTTATTAGTCAACTCATTTGGAATACATGATGAAGTTTATATGTATTTATATCTTCTGTTATCAGAGAAGGTGCTGGTTTAGAGAATTCATTGATGTAAGTGGAGGTAGGTTTTTAAGTACTTCTGCTTTAATTATTTGATACTAGAGCATGTGGTCCCAGATCGTTCATCCTACAGTCAGGATTAAATGTTCATATTAATAATACTCAACCTTACTCTTCTCATATTTTCTATATTTTGCTGTCTGAAGTTTTGTTTGATTAAATTGTACTGAATTTACATTCTGACGACAGGAGGTAATTTTAAAGGGTTTCATGAACTTTGGCTTAAATTGCCAGTAGATATACTTAGAATACTTAAAAGTTCAAAATTTCCCTCATTAATTTTTTTGCACTTATCTTCAGGGTGATATTGGTCTGTGACTGGTGCATACGTTTCTTGTATCTTTGTTTTATATTTCTCGTTATCTTGTTAAGTGGTGCTTAAGTCACTAACTTGACATGGGAAGGAGGAAATAATTATTAACATTTAATATATACTTACCAGTGTTAAATAGTAATACTATTAGTATGTGAATTGAGTGTCCATGAATAAGTAAAATGAAAGTAATAGAGTAATACCTAACCTCTCTGTATATTACTTTATTTAAATTAAAACATAAGATCTATTCTGTTTTTATAGTGGCTCAAGCACGTTGACGATCAAGGTAGACAGTATTACTACAGTGCTGATGGATCCCGATCAGAATGGGAATTGCCAAAGGTAATAAACCCTAACACTGTCTTAAAGTTTCTGTTTAAAATAGTGAAATAATATCTGAAAACAGTCTTCCAGTAAATTGTTTTTTAAATTGTAATCTACTTTAAAGCTGCTACAAGACTTTTCATGTCTGATGTGATAACGCAGCAGTCAGGGTACTTGTTTGCATGCATCCAACCTAGTTTAATTCCTGGTATTCTCTGTGTTCCCCAGAACTCTGTTAGGAGTGATCTCCAGAGTGCAGAGCCCAGAGTAAGTCCTAAGCACCAAGATATGCACCCCCCTTCCCCTCAACTCCCCCCCCCCCAAAAAAAAACCCAAAACCAAGAAACAGCCCAAAATAAAACAAAATGCTTCTGGAGCTGGTGAGATAAGACAGCAGGTAGGGCACTTGCCTTGCATGCGGCTGACCTGGGTTTGATTTCCGGCATCCTGTACATCCCCTGGGCCCTGCCAGGAGTGATCTCCAAGAATCAGGAATAGGCCCTGAGCATATCTGGGTCATACCCTCTCTCAAAAAACCAAACAAACAAAAATGAAAAACCATCCAAACGTTACAAGATTTTCTTCCAGAATTTATTGTGACAATCCAGTGATAGCTAAATTTTCTAAGATGTGCATTATCTTTTCTATATAACACTGATGATTCCTATTTAAGAGTTCTTTTGGTTTTACCTGAGGTTGATTTTTCATTTTACCCCTGGAAATAACAAACAATTCCTGTTGGAGCCAGTAATACTATCTTATAGTCTGTTAGAGTATATTGTGCTTTTCCCACATGAAGTTTGTCTTGTTTTTATAAAAATATTTTATTATGGTCTTGTGACTAACAACATTTTATTAAGAACAACCACTACTCAAGTTTATTATTGTGAAAGTGTATTGTAGTTGAGTTGTCCATTGGCAGATTGTGCCCGGATCTTTTAGTGTCTCATTGAATATCTCCTCAGATTTCCTGGGAAGGTTTCTGAAGAACCACAATATACGTGAGGAGGGAGAATGTGTGTGTGCCTTGGGGTGGGGTTTACATGAGGGAGGGGGTTCCTGCTGTAGTGGCCAAGATGTGGGAGTAAGGGTGGGTGTATGGAGGAGGAAACCAGCGGAACAGAAGAGAAAGCTCAAGTGTGGTGTTCTGGATCAGTGGATCAGTGGGTAAGCATGTGCTGTGTGGTCAATGTTGCTGAGATTATTGGTTGTTTGCATAAAACAAATGTAAGATCTTGTTGGGGAGATAGCGCAGAAGGCTGGAGCAGATGCTTTGCATTGGGGAGACCTGGGGTCAGTCTCCAGCAACAAGCTGGGTGTGTCCCCACAGCAGGGTCAGACACACAGAAATCCACCATTCCCCCTTGACCTCAGCTCATTTCACAACTGGTGGTTAATTTCAGGTCAGTGAGATAGATCGTAAAGCTTTGCAGACTGGAAGGATGTATCAGACTATCTTTGACATCAGAGTGGGAAGGAAAACTATAAAAGGAAAGATCAGCAGATGTGACTGCATTAAACAAAGTTTAAATGTAAAAGATACCTTACATAAAGGGGAAAATGTAGATTTATCTCACACAGCTTGCATGTCAAAATGTGTAAAGAATTCCTTGGTTCTTCTATACATAGCTATAAGAAAAAGAAATGCAGCTGAAAATAGGCAAAATCTGTAACTGAGCAATTCATAGAAGAGGAAATCCATGAAATAAACCTACGGAGAGAGGGGTGGGGGCAATAGTGCAGTAGGTAAGGTGCTTGCCTTGCACACAACCGACCAGGGTTTGATCCACAGCATCCCACATGGTCTTCCCAGCACCACTAGGAGTAATTCCTGAGTGCAGAGTCAGGAGTCAACCCTGAGCACTGCCAGGGGTAGCCCAGCAACTAAAAATAAACAAAATACTTACGGCAAGACATCCGGTTTTATAAGTAACCATGAAAATGTAAATTAAAAGGTTGAAGTAGCAGTAGTTCCTGGACACCCCACCTCCCTAACTACTAATGTGTGCTGATGTAGATACGTTAATTTTGTCTAGTTCAACAGTTTCCCACAGGCCCATGCAAAGCCACTTGGCCCTGTCATTGGTTGTTCTACTGGTGGCACAGATCTGTCATGTACTATTAGAAGTGAGAAGTGAATCAGAGCTGCACCAATATAGCTACTTTTCTTCACCAATGTAGTTACTTATGTTGGCGGGTGCTGAGGATGGGCTTCGTTACTTATAAAACTGGATGTAGAGCATTCACCTTGAATGTTCAAAGTCCTGGGTGTGATCTCTGACATGGGCGCGGCTTACAGGGCACCAGTAGGGGGTGGCCTCCTGCAGCTAACAACTGCAAGGCATTTGAGAAAAAATTTGAAAAATATGCATGTGATAGAATTCTTTGTAAAACTTAAAATCATACCGGCAGTATGTGTTTACAGTTATGTAAGTGTATGTCAGAGTTGAAAATGCTTGAGACTGAGGCGTGTTGAGTTCCGTGGCACTGCTGGGGAGGGAGGGAGAGAAGTGGAATCTGGAAGATGCGTTCTGAAGACCTCTAACAAGGCTTGTTTCACTTGTATCACTTGTCATCCCATTCTCATCGATTTGCTCGAGTGGAAGCCAATCATGTCTCCTAGTTAGCATGCGACAGGGACGAATGGAGACGTTACTAACAGGGCTATACTCTTTGATTTCTTTTTTAAAAAGATAGCAAAGGTACCTAAAGGAAATGTTTCATGTTAGACCTACTGAATAGGTGGAGGGTTCTCATTATAGTCCTTATACTTTTGCATGTATTGGAAATGACTCACATAAAAAATTGAGTCAAAATTCAGTTTTTTGTTTGGGAATTGAGGGGTCACTTGTAGTAGTAGGTGGTCCAGTGGCGTAGATCTGGCAGTTTGGGGTTCAGACTTCCTGATGTGACACTGCTTGGTCCCAGTAGTGCTGGGAGCTCCAGGACATATGAGGGGTGGGGCCTGCAGTCCGGGCACCAGGGGTGGAACTCAGAGTGTTGTGCGCGCAAGGCACATGCTCCACCCCTTTGAGCTCTGTCTCCAACCCTGAGTTAAAATTCTTGACTGCTGCCTGGCTGCCCACTGCCGAGGTGCTCTGGGGACTGGATATGGTGCTAGGGATTGAACCAAGGGTAGATTGCATGCAGAACAAGTGTCTTATCCCTTATATCCTCTGTCTGGCCCTAACTTTTTTTTTTTTTTTTTGGGTCACATCCGGCGATGCTCAGGGGTTACTCCTGGCTCATGCGCTCAGGGGCTGGAGCGATAGCACAGCGGTAGGGCATTCGCCTTACAAGCGGCCAACATGGCCGACCCGAGTTCGATTCCTCCGCCCCTCTCGGAGAGCCCGGCAAGCTACTGAGAGTATTCGATATGCCAGACACAGTAACAACAAAGTCTCCAATGGAGACGTTACTGGGCCCGCTCGAGCAAATCGACGATCAACGGGAGGGCCTTTACCTTTACCTTTTACCTTTACCATGCGCTCAGGAATCACTCCTGGCAGTGCTCGGGGGACCATATGGGATGCTGGGAATCGAACCTGTATCGGCCATCTTGGCTGCGTGCAAGGCAAACGCCCTACCCGCTGTGCTATCGCTCCAGCCCCTGGCCCTAACATTCTTGAAGTGATTTTTAAAGATGTTAGGAAAATAGTAACTCTTACCCTTCTTGTTCAGCAGAATTGCGCGTGCTTTCTTATTTTTCTTTCCTGTAATTCATTTGAATTATAAATAATGTTTTATTTTTGTTTGTATACACTAGATTTTATACCTTGGCATTTCATTAATGCCTTATTTGCTTTTATGAACATATTGTCGCTGAGTAAAACTGTCATCAGCACATTTTTAAATTACGGTTATTATCCAATTAAATCTTACATAAATTTTGTTGCCACATGAAAGGACGTCTCCATAAGTATAGTAATTATAAAGCTTAAAAACTAAAATGTCCGTTAAAATTCATATGCAAGCCTAGCAGTGTAAATTTTAATTATTAGTAATACTGATTGTATTGGAGGAAATATTGCCCTGTTTTATAATTAGGTATCTTTTCATTTAGAGATTTTATTGTACATTTTCTGGGTAATTGTTCTTACTGTCATGATCCTTTGGTGAACATTTGTGATAGATTTTGAATCACTATTTGTTTTATGGTTTTGGTTTTTTTTTCTTTTTGGGTCACATCCAGCAATACTCAGGGGTTACTCCTGGCTTTGCACTCAGGAATTACTCCTGGCAGTGCTTGGGACCGGATGGGATGCCGGAGATCGAACCTGGGTTGGCTTTGTGCAAGGCAAACACCCTACCCGCTGTACTGTAGCTCCAGCCTAAATCCGTGTTGTTAGGCAACAGTGAGTTATGAACAAACATCTATATGTCATTTCTTTGCTTTCACAAGTTTTAATGTGAAAAAGAAAGTAGTGACTTTGGAAGATAGTTGAGTGATTTTCTTTATTTTAGAGAGTAAAAAAAAATAGCTGTAATGATGTAGAAAATTTATTTTTTTATTTTTTTTTAAATTTTATTTTTTTATTTTTATTTTTTTTTACTTTTTGGGTCACACCCAGCGAGCACAGGAGTTACTCCTGGTTCATGCACTCAGGAATTACTCCTGGCGGTGCTAGGGGGACCATATGGGATGCTGGGAATCGAACCTAGGTTGGCTATGTGCAAGGCAAACGCCCTACCCTCTGTGCTATTCCTCCAGCCCCAGAAATTTTATTTTTATTTAAAATTGTCCTCTAAATATTTTTTATGGGAACTACGGTAAGCTAGTAAAATTTAAATTTTATTTTTTAAGGTGTAGGGGAATTTGGGGTCATTTGCTTTCAGGAGAAAAAAATGTTCCTTCAAATGTAGACTAGTTGTTTTGGTCACGTTATCACAATTCATTGCTTATAACATGTAAAAATAGCTCATATAAATAGCATAGCTCTTTACTTTTTATGTTGTGTGTTTGTGGGGGTTCACTCAAGGAGCCCAGGACCCCACTCAGTGATTATTGGCCATCCAGACTGATGACGAAGGATGTGGTGCTTCTTGGATTATCTGGGTTACCCCAGCAGCTTGGGGGTGATGGTGGAGAGCACACCCGTGGTGCTCAGAACTGACTGTACCTAACAGTGCTTGGAGACTGTGGTGCTGGGGATTGGACCAGGGTTAGCTGCATGCAAGACAAGTCCCTGCACTTTCTCTAGCCCCCTCAAACAGTAACTCTTAAACTTCACCTTCTTCTTCTCCTCCTCCTCCTCCTCCTCCTCCTCCTCCTCCTCCTCCTCCTCCTCCTCCTCATTTTCAGATGATTTTGCAAATGTGATAAACTTGACTTTTCAAGTACTTTCACATTTCAATACCTTATTGATAATGTGTTTCTAATGTTATATGTACTCTTTTGGGACAGTTATTGGGAGTCTTTGCATGTTTTTGGGATTTGGTATATATGATGTATTTGATGTATTCAGGATTGGTCTTTCACTGTCTCTAACTTTTGACCTGGTTTCATTTTACCATTTTAGGGAAATGTAGTCTATTTTCTCTATAATTGAAAGCAAGAGTGAAAATGAAATATCTTTAAATATGACAGTATTGGTTATGTAAGCATTATTGTAAAAGTCTTAACATTGAATTCACATACATTTTAGAAATGGAGATGCTTTAAGAAGCTCATATACTCTGTCGCCTCATTTTGTGAGGTGTAAACACTATCAGAGCGGTGTTTGGCACTTTGGTTGTGATGGTGGCACCACTGGGATCACACTTGGCTCCGGCCTGCACTTTTGGGTATGCTGGTGCTTAGGAACAAAAGTGGCAGTGCCAGTGGTGTTGGGGATCGAATCCAGGCCTCACACATGCAGTCCACATGCCCTGCCACTGAAACCGCACCTCCAACCCCTGCTTAAGCACTTTCCCTAAAATTTCATCTAATCCTCTTGATAATCTTTAAGATATTTGTTTCAGAATTGACAACTCAGACTTGGACACATTAAATATCTTGCTAAAGGTTAGATTATTTTGCTCCAAAATCTCTGAGTTTCTCAAGGGTGCAGGGAAGTTGGTCAAATAGTCCCATATGGTCCCCCGAGCACCTCCAGGAGTTATTCCTGATTGCTGAGCCAGGAGTAACCCCTGAGTATCACTGGGTGTGATCAAAAAAACCTAAACAAACAAAAAACCCGAGGAAACTGAGATCGGGGCTAGTATCATATGATGAATTAATTTGTCTACTGTAACTAGGCATTGGAGCCAATATGTATGAAGCCTGTAGCCCACTTCACTACTGTTTTTGATCAAGTGTATTTTTTTTCCCCTTTTAGTATAATGCTTCATCTCAGCAGCAAAGAGAAATTATCAAGAGTAGGAGTCTGGACAGGCGGCTGCAAGAACCAATAGTGTTAACAAAATGGAGACATAGCACCATTGTATTGGACACCAATGACAAGGTAGGGACATTTTGAGATTATCTCTTGAGAATTTTGACAAGTTCTTTGCTTATTTTTAAATTTTATCCTCAGCTGAATCTCATACCTTTATGACTGCAGTTTTATTATACATAGCATTCAATTGGTTTTGGAATAGTCTTTGGTTTTGAATTTTTTTATTTACTGCAAAGTAGACTGACTTAACTGTGTCCCAGTGATATATATGGCTTGGTATATTTGAGTCTAGCAGGTGACGTCTCTTTGTGATATTCCTTGTTATCTTTCTAAGGTAATTGTACACTGTTAAAGTAGTATATTTTCTAATTTCTGCACTATAAGGATTTAAATGGTTGAATATCAAGGATATATTGAAGGAATGAAATTTTGAAGACTGTGTTATTAAAGAATGCTTGAAATATTTTAACATTGAGATACCCGTGGTGTATTTGATATGCCAAACACAATAACAACAAGTCTCACAATGGAAACGTTACTGGTGCCCACTCGAGCCAATCGGTGAACAACAGGAGGACAGTGTGACAGTGTTACAGTGCTACAGAGATGAACCTGAGTAGATAAATTATTTTTCATTAAAGATTTTAAGAATCTGAACTCTCAGAACTAGATTCAATATGTATAGGAAGCTGCTAATATTCTATATAGTGCTTTATTTCAAAGTGATTATTAAACCAACTTCACTGCATTTCCATACTATAGCAAATAAGGATGATCATTTTGGTGATGGGAGAGTTAAAATTTCTTATTCTTGAAATTTGTTTTCAGCTGTTATTAGAATAACTTGCATAAAGTTCTTAATTCTTTTCCATATTTATTTAATTGTTTCAGAGTTATAAAAACCTGACATATGGAAACCAGAGATTTGCTTATGTGTTTATAGAAGTATCTTTCCCTTGTTCTCACTTTACCTTTTATAAATGAATTCACAGAAATTGCATAACCAACCAAACTTTTCTGTTGTCATCACTTGGTAGAGATATTTTTAAGATAGCCAAATCAGTGAGGGTAGGCTAGAAGAACTATACCAGAGCAAACTAGTTGACTGCTACATAAGGGGTGGGGGTGGGGGATAGGGCCTCTTTTATTATTATATTAAAACATAATAATAAAGACCTGAAATTATGTTAGCAGATGTTGATAGAATGAAAAAGTTTGATAATTTAGTTGCCTGGTATCCTTGGAGGACATAGAGTGTGTCTCTGTGGCATGTTTGTTTGTGCCAATGTGTGGTTTAACTGAAATTTTTGAAAATGTACTCTTTGTAGATATTGAAGATATATATGTGTAAACATTTATACCTGTGTATGTATATATGCATAAATATATGCATAAATATATGATTCTATGAATTTTCTATAATTATGCATATATTAATACTTTATATGTCTGTAGGACTGATAACAATTAACAATAATAGCTCACAAGAATTACTTATTTTATTGTTTGCAGATTATTAGATTTTTTTTCTTAGACCATTTCAGTTTTAGATACTTTTCTGAAGTCAAGAATTTGAAGAGTGAAACTGCTGAAGTTGTCAGGAAAGACTTAAAAAACTTGAATGAGATTTAAATTAAGTGTGATTTTTTTTTTTTGCACCCATATGCATATGCTGGAGCGTAGCACAGTGGGTAGGGCGTTTGCCTTGCATGCAGCCGATACAGCCGACCTGAGTTCAATTCTTCCGCCCCTCTTGGAGAGCCTGGCAAGTTACCGAGAGTATCTCGCCCACACGGCAAAGCCTGGCAAGCTACCCGTGTCGTATTTGATATGCCAAACACAGTAATAAGTCTCAACAATGTTACTGGGCCCGCTCAAGAAAATCAATGAGCAACGGGAGGACAGTGACAGGGACAGTGACCCATATGCTTGATAGGGTCTTAATATTGATATTATAGGCCTAAAGTCTTCGATTTGAAAAATTGTCCCTCCAGGGTTTTTTCCTGTAAATGTGTGCTGCTACCTAGTGTCTATGTTATTAGTTGTATAGGATATAAACCTGAAGACCTTCAGGCAAATGAATATTGAGTTGACAGTTACTTGCATTCTTATTTAATAAGGGTGCCTGGGTTTGTAGATAGCATCGTATCCAGTTTCATAAGTGTAGGAAAGTGGACCGACAGAGATGTGAAGATGATTATTCAAAGAATCTGGGCTATTAAGATTAATAATAGGCATTAGCTTATAATTTTTCTATTTTTTTTCTTGAAATTATTGAAACCATTTAGGAGAATGAAGAAAATTTGAGTGGAACTTGGCTGTTGGTACCAAAAAATATATTTTTTAGTCTGCATAAATGGTGGTATAAATATCTGTAGTGTTATATACTAAGTACAACTGTATATAAATTAGTATATAAATATTATATACTAAGTAGAATTTAAAAATTAGACTCAAAAAACTAGTCCAGGGCTGTAGGCACTTGAATGTGGTATACCTTGGTTCAAATCTCATTCGACATGTGTCTCCCCAGCATTGCCAGGTGTGGCCCCTGAACCAGGAATGACCCCTGAGCACCACTGGGTATGACCTTCCCACACTTAAAAGCGCATATAAGTTTTTTGTTTTTTTTCTTTAAAAAAACGGCTTTGCATATAGTGAACTCCAGATTGATCCCAAGTACCCCACCAGCCATCCCCAACCACTCAATACTGCCAGGTCTTGGAGGACCCTGAGTACTTCTACGTGTGGCCCTAACGGTTCCTAGCACCACGTGGGGGGAGCAGCATTGAACCATCTGACCTGCTTGGCAAAGTATCTTCAGGAGTGACCCCCACCCAGGTCCTCAGGGCACTCCTTAGGATCATATACCCCATCCCCCCATTTAAATCCCTAATTGATTTGTTCCTATTCTTACAGGATTAGCATTAACATTTTTTTGTGGTTATTAATCTCTAAATTTGAGATTCTTTGCAGTTTAAAAATCTTGCTTGTCTTTAATAAATTGGAAAGGTTTTCTTTAAACTCCTTTAGATTAGTGACAGCACTTTAATTTCCTGAATTAATACATAGCTGTGACCTGCAGTAAAGTCCTTGCTGTGGCATTTGCCAGGTCAAGTCTGTGACTGTTCCTTGCATAATTTTTATACCTCCCATACTACAAACGAGTTGGTATGATGACTGGTACAATTTTACCCACAAATATTTAGATTTTACCTATTTCATATATGGTTAGATGAAGCTTATGCAACCTGTTTTTAAGGCAATATGTATCACTTCCTTTAGTGTGGTGTATTTAAATTTAATTATAATTAATATAAGAAGACCATGTTCTATAAATTTTGGTTCATGTAGTTTTTCAAATCAGTACCATGTTTCATATCTGAATGTAGAAGGGAATAGGAAAAAATTTCTTCTTAGCTTCCCTTATTAAGCTCTCCTACTGTGAGGAGAGGGAGAAATAACAGTTTTATAAAATAGAGTAACATTTTTCATTACTTATTTCTTGTAGGAATCTCCAACTGCCTCAAAACCCTGCTTACCTGAAAATGAGTCTTCTCCCTCTTCACCAAAGCACCAAGATACAGTTAGTATGATAGTAGCATTTAGTATAGTCCAGTTATTTCAGCCAATTTCAATAAATTTCTCTAAATAAAATGCTTAAATATTTTTGGGATTTGATTGTATTTCATCATTGTTTTTAAAAAAGAATCAATTAAAATGGCTTTAAATTAAGAATCAGATTTGATTGATTTAAAAGCCCCTTTTGTATGGATTACAATCTCTGCGATTAATTTACATACTGTGCTTGTAAGTGATAAGTTTGGGTTTGGTTTTGTTGTTTTTTTTTTTTTTTTAAATAAACACGAACATACCAAGAGAATGCCATCCAGTTATGCATTACTCTTTTTTCCCCAGGCCAGCAGTCCCAAGGTAAGGAGTTTCCCTCTTTCATAATGAGCATAGACACATGTTTAGCTTTGCTGCGAAGCACTTTGCTCAGTGCTGGAGACCCCTAACCCTCCTGTTTCCTATAAGCTGCCAACGTCCGAGCGACCTCTCTGCAGAATCCTGCCTTTGACAGCTTTTCACCTGACCTGTATTTATAGTCCCATTAGTCTTGTAACTGTACTGGTCGTGCTTCCCCCCTCAACGCTTCCCTTCTCTTTTAGAGTGAAGACTAAGCATTTTAACGAGGACTCGGCGACTGCGCATGCTCTGCCTCTTGACCGCTTCTCCAGCCTCACCTCGTACTTGTGTCCTCATCTTCCCTCCTGGCTTGTTTTCCTCCAGCTACACTGCCCTTCTTTCTGTTCCTCCAAGGAGCCCGCTTTCAACAGAAGGTCCTTGCATGCATCGTTTCCCTACCTGCCGAAACATTTCTCTCCCCTGTCTTTGCCTGTTAACCTCTTGTTCATTCATGAGAGCTCAGGTCAGACCCCACTTCTCTCTCGAGAGTTGTATTTGACTCTAGATTTGGTCAGGGTGCCCACAGTGGGCTCAGGAGCGTTGAAAGGCGTGTGGTGTGATGACATGAAACAGAGTAACCCTGTCCAGTACCATTGCTTGTAGGGGTCTGCAGCGTCTGCTGATCTCTTCCCAACTAGCAGAGTAGGAATGAAGTACGCCTCAGTACCTACTATCAGGCCCCATAGGTGCTGTTCAGTAAATATTTGTTGAATGAATAAACAGAACTTCTAGAGCTTATAAAAAGCCAAACTTTTCAATCTCCATTTCTTTGTTTTAGAAAACTAAAATAGACTCACTTATTAGAATACTTCTGATTACTTAGGCATAAGGATTTCCACAGATAACATTTTGCTTTTCTAACTTTTTCTCTGACACCTCACCTCGCCTGGGTCTTTGCTGGTCCTTGCCACAGGAGTATGTTGCTTTCTGCCCCTGCCCAGACGCTCCCCTGCTAGACGAGACTTGCTGGCTTATCTGCACCTACAGTGAAATTTTATACTGACCTTTTAAGACTGATTCTTCAGGAAGCCTTGAGAGACTGACCTCAGCATATAATCTCTCTCCCTCTCTCTCTCTCCCCCTCCCTATCCCTCTCCCTCTCCCTCTCCCTCTCTCTCTCCCTCTCCCTCCCTCACTGTCTTCTTCTCCCTCTCCCTCTCTCTCTCCCTCACTCTCTCCTTCTCTCCTTCCCTCTCTCTCTCCCTCTCCCTCTCCCTCCCTCACTGTCTTCTTCTCCCTCTCCCTCTCTCTCCCTCACTCTCTCCTTCTCTCCTTCCCTCACTCTCTCCCTCTATCCTCTCCCTCCACCCTCAAGTCTTAAGTCAGTTATTTCATTCAAGGGTGTGCAAGTTGCCTTGTATACTTCTCATCTCCCCACTGAGGTTTTTAATTCCTAAGGCATAGATTAGGACAGCCTTTCTAGTCTTTATTGCTTCCATTGTTTTATACAATTCTGAGTAGATTAAACATTAAAGATAAAAGTAAGCATAATTTTACTGATGGTGTCAGTTACTTAAGGTGTTGTTAACTGTCATACTAGTTTATCAATCTATCTAGAAAACAGACAACTTATTTTAAATATAGGTAGTATTGGGGCCAAAGAGATAGCACAGTGGATAGGGCAATTTGCCTTGCGCATGGCCGATCTGGGTTCTGTTCTAGGCATCACATATGGTTACCTGAGCACTGCCAAGAGTGATCCCTGAGTACTGCTGGGTGTGGTCCAACCCCCCCACTTTTCCCCCATCAAATAAAAGTAAATGTAGGTATTATAGAATTACTGTACATTTAATAGCATGTTATTAACCTACTAGTAAATTATTGATTTAAGTAACTTATTTAATCTTGGTAAAACGAATTTCTAAATAATTCTAGAAATATGCATATTCTGTGTTCCACACAAAATTGCAAAGAACGGTTTGTAGATTATTTCCCTGTGCATTTACTCCTTGTGTGAAACTGGACCTTAGCTCGGCCATTCTGGACTCATGGTACCCTCTCATGGCCATCACACGGAACTGCCACAACAATCTTTTCTTTCATTCTTAAGCTGAGATGGAAAAATGAGGAATTTTTAAAGACATTTATTCTACTTTAGGCATTTTTAAAACCTAATTAATTATACATCATTTGTTTCCATCCCGACTGTGGCTCTTCCTCTGAATTCTTCCCTTCCTGGATCCTGTTTTGCCCCTCCCTGCTTGGACTTTTCTCCGCCTAAATCACTCTCTGCCCTCTTCCATTTTCCTGTTTCCACAGCATCTTGCTATCTTTCCCACTCTTACTCAATCAGGGTAAGGATATAGTCCCTCTGTCTTAATGAATTAAACATTGTTTTGAAATAAAGCTGTAAAAGTAGACAAAAGGAAGCTGTCAGTTTAGGGAGGAAAAGGATCTGATGTTCTGATCTGATGCATGCTCTCTACAGGTGGCCATCGACCTCTTCAGTGTCCTCCCTTTCTTGTTTCTGTGGTGTCAAACCAGGGTCTCACACATACAAAGCCAGTGCTTACTACTGAGCCACACCTCAGCCCTAGAGTGAGCCTTCCTTCCTTCCTTCCTTCCTTCCTTCCTTCCTTCCTTCCTTCCTTCCTTCCTTCCTTCCTTTTTTGGTTCTTGGGTCACACATGGTGGTACCCAGGGCTTACTCCTGGCTCTGCGCTTAGGGGTCACTCCTGGGCACCTTATGGGCTAGTGGGGATTGAACATGGACTGGCTGTGTGCAAGAAAATCACCCTACCTGCTGTACAATCACTCTGGCCCTGGAGTTGTTCTTTTTCTACAGAGTAAGTGATTGGTCAAGTCCAGGATGCAGCTTAAGTGGCAGAGTACATGTCCAGCATGTTGGAGTCCCTGAGTCCCCAGCACCGCATGCCCTCGCCCTACAATAAGTGACATGCCCACGACACCCCCCAGCAGCAGGGGTAACTAATTGTCAGGAAGAGAGACGCAGAAGACAGGGAACACATGGAGGGAATGTTTAATGGGTTTAATGTTTTAGGGTTTCCCATTAACATGACAAAAGGAACATGAAGCTACACACAATAGTTATAAATTATAAATACGCTAAAGACCACTGAACTGTATACTATAAAAAGGTTAGTAATAAATTTTGTTATGTGGATTTCACAACAATAAAAATTCCTAAAAAGAACTATGTGGCAGAAATTTTAGTGCTTAAAAGGTAAAGCTTTATTTTCTCCACTGCTACTCTCATATTTCTTCCGAGTGCTGTTAATTTCTTGGTTAATTATTTCAAGTATGCATTGAATGCCAACCTATGCTAAATGGGTTATACATTGGTGAATATAACAGATGTGGTCCCAGCACAGACCCTAAAGGTGAATCATAATATGCATATCATTGTACTTTGCATTCAGTACAATGAAAGAAACAAACTGAGGTGGGAAGCATAGCATTTCTCTGAGGAGTGGTGAGGAGGGCTGGAGAGATAGTACAGCAAGTAAGGCACTTCATTCCTGAGGACCCCCCCCCCCCCCCCCCCCGAAGTGACACTTCCCCCACCCCCCGCACAAAGTCATGAGTAAGCCCTGGAGTAAGCCTTGGGTGTGACTCAGTAATAGGATGGAAAAAAGAATGTCCAGGAAGAGTCTTTCTGAAAAAGTGTCCTTGGTGCTGAGGTTTCACCATCAGCAGTTAGTGAGGCGTGGGCATCTCCTTCACATTCACCAGCTGGTCCGCACACCCCGTCCCTAACTGAGTCTCTCTCGCTTTCACTGTCACTGCCTTGTCTGGCTCTCAGTATGTCTCTCTCACAGGAATGGCTGGTATGGCCAGTCTTAGTTTATCCTCCTGCCACTGCCACATCTCTGGATGCTTCTCCACCCCATCCCAACACTTTGAGGAAACTTAAGACAGAAAATGATTTGTTCTTTTTAAGGTTCTGTGCTTTTATACTCAGTCATTGTCATCCCCTGCGATTTCCATCACTGCCTTCCTTTGCTCAACTCTACATCTCCAGGAAAATGGCTTCACCCCCTTCTCGTTCCCAGGTTGAGTTTGTTACCCCTTTCTCACAGCATTTACCACAAATAACAAAAAGTTCATTTTGTTGGGGCTGGAGTGATAGTACAGCGGGTAGAGCATTTGTCTTGCACACGGCCGACCCAGGTTTGGTTCCCAGTATCCCATATGGTCTCCTGAGCACCGCCAGGAGTAATTCCTGAGTGCAGAGCTAGGAGGAACCCCTGTGAATCACCAGGTGTGACCCAAAAAGCAAGCCAAAAAAAAAAGTTCATTTTGTATTTGTATGTTTTGGGAGTGGCAAAAATTTTATTCTTATGTTCTAGCTGGAGGGCTTAATACTTATGGCGGTATTATTACTAGGGTCTTGATCCCTATGAGAATTTCACGAAAATCTGAATCATTTCCTTGAATGAGGTGTGTTCATATACACACTCGACTATCAGTTCTAGCTGTCATTGATGTGGGTAAGAATCCCTGATTCAGAATTGCTCTCATCCTAAAGCTCTGCCATTCTCCCTTCTGTTTTTCTTCCTCTTTTGACCTGTGCGTCATTCCTGCCTCTGCTTTGCTCCCTTGCTCTCTTTGCTATAGGCTGAATTTCTACCTCTCCCTGCTTCCAATGACAGTGTTCCCTAACTCACATCACCAGTCCCATTCTCTCAGAGTAATATTTTGTTACTTAGTTTCATGGGGCATTCAAAGGTTTTCATCCTTGCTTCAAAAAAATAAATTGCAAATCTTAACATCCGGTGTATAATTACAATCGTAATTATTTTGGTGAGCAGCAACAGCTTTTATGGAAATATGAGATTTGCCTATCTGATGGGACTGACCTATGGTTTATGAAAAATTAGAGTAAAAATTTAATATAGTTTATTAGTTCTAAAATTCTCAGTCTTCCATAATGTGAACTGCTGGCTTTGTGTTTAATTGTGATTTTTTTTTTTGTTTTCATTTTTGTTTTTAAAAGGTCAGGGAAATTGTCAAATCTTTTAGGATTTTGAGAAAATACCATTATGTTAATTTCCCATGAAAATGATTTGTGGGGTACTGGGATGGAGAGATAGTACAGCGGACAGGACACTTACCTTGTATATGGCAGACCTGGGTGTGAAGGCCCGCACCCCATATGATTCCCCCAAGCATTGCTAGGAGTGGTCCTGGAGTGCAGAGTAAGGGGTTAGCTCTGAGCACTGCCAGGTGTGGCCCAAAACAAAACAAAATCTTTTTTCCCCCTAATTTAAAAAAAAAAATGAGAAAAAGGGTGACATAAATAAAACAACAAAGAGTGAAGTGTGAATTTTTATTTTATTTATATTTTTGGTTTTTGATTTTTGGGTCACATCTGGTTATGCCAGGGATTATGCCTGCTTCTCTGCTCAGGGATCAAACCTGGCAGTGCTCGGGGGACCACATGGAGTGCTGGGAATTGAACCCGGGTCATCAGCGTGTAAGGGAAACGCCGACCAATGCACTAACACTCTGGCCCTCAAGTAATGGAATTTTTAACCTTTGTTGTGTGTATTTTTTGTGTGTATGTTTCAGTTGAAGTAATATCAGCTGTTCTGTCATGTGAATACATTGTTTACAGGTGTTTATTGTTGATGTATTTATGACAGTTTCTAATCCCCAGCACACTTGTTTCAATTAAATTTATTTGAGCATGGGATGCTAAGAGGGCTTTATCCATCTTCCCTGAAAGAATTTAAAGAGGCCATTTGGACCAGAGAGAGAGAGAGCATGAAGGGCCAAGGGCCTGTTTTGCATGCAGGGGACCTGAGTTCAGTCCTTGGCTCCCCGTGTTTCTCTGAGCAATACCAGGTGTGATTCAAAAACAAACAAAAATAGAGGGGAAAGAAGCAACCATTTCACTTTAGCCTGTAGCTTTTGCCTTCATAGTTTGATGATAAAAACTGTCACTTTTTTTTAACATCAGCTGACTAGTGTCTCTGGTTTATTCAGAGCTAAATTCATTATATGATAGTATGTTTAATGAAACACAGTTGGAGTCTTTATGCCACAGTAAGGCCAGTTCTGTGCATAGTTATTTGTTAAATGTAGTCATTGCATCCGTTCTGTACAATTGTTTTTTACAGTCTGACAAAATATTTTAGGAGCTTAAGTATTTTTCAACTCTATTGTAAAATAACAGTAAAATAAGTTACTTTTTTAAAAATAGCATTTATCATTATAGTGTTACAGCATTTTCTTTGAACAGGAAGATCTAGGTTCACTTTCCAGGGCTGGCTTATAGCGCTCTTGGCAGCCTAATTTGATAACAGAGTACTCACGGACTGCTATGGCATAGGAAAGGTAGTTTTTAATTATAAAATTACTGAGAATAACTTTACAGATATATTAGGAAATTGCCATGTAATACTCTCTAGAACTAAACACATTGCATACTGACTAATCTTTTCTTTTAAGCTAATTTTTAAAGTACCAGATCATTTTTTGTTTAGTCACATGTAAGACCGTGGACCTCATTGCATGAATGATGCTTAAATGGCATTACTCTGTTCCATAGGGTCAAGAGAAATATGGATTATTAAATGTAACAAAAATTACTGAAAATGGGAAAAAGGTTCGGTAAGTAATGTTGATGTCATATCATCTAAATAAAATTAAAAGTATGACTATAGTAATATTATAGCACAAATGATTAAAAATCTTGTAAGAATTTCAAATAGGGGCCCCAGAGAAAGTATCAGAGGTAATGGTGCCTGCCTTGCATGCAGTCAACCTCTTTGATTTTGGGGACCACATGGTGTCCCTGAGCAGCATTTCTGGGACTAGCACTGCAGGCCCCTAGGGGTCACCACCATTCCCCAGCACATAGCCGAGCAGCTCCCCTGTATCCTTGGGCCCCTGCAGTAATGACCTGCTGGCCTGCCGAGGGATTGGCTGGAGAGGCTCCAGAGCCCCTGAGTACTGCTGGGGTGGTACCACCTTACTTTCTGCACCCACCAAAAGGAGAATTTCAAGTAATGTATTTTTGATATGTAGGATGTTATGAAATGTTTGGAAATATTTTCTTGGCATATTTGTTAAAACCGCTAAATTTAGCATTAAGAAGGCAAGGATTCTGAGACGACATTAGCTTTATTTAAAAAAAACGGGGGAGGGGGCAAGAGCAGAAGGATAGCAGTGGCCAACCTGGGTTCAAGGCCCAGCATCATATATGGTCCCCTGAGCATCTCCAGGAAAATCCCTGAGACGGAGCTGGGAGTAATCCCTGAGCGCCATTAGCTGTGGCCCAAAACTTAAAAAAAAAATAAAGTTAATTATTCGTATATATTAATTAAGCTAGGGCTAGAGAGATACTATAAGGCACTTTCCTTGCACAAGGCGAACTTTTTACATTCATCCCCACGACCCCATATGGTTCCATGAGCCCTACCAGGAAAGACTGCTGGTCACAGAGCCAGAAGTAAGCACTGTTGAGTATGGAATCTCTCCAAAAACAAAAAAGCAAGAACACTTATTTTTTAAATAACTTAAAAAATAATAATGAACATGGTAAAATGGGACATGAAACATTTAGTCAAAAGTTGCTTACTTAGCCTCTAGTTTCTATATCCAGAGGAAACCAGTTAAGTCTAATAATATTCACTGTTTTTCTTTAGAATATACGTAATTGGGTTGCCTCCTTAGCGCAGTAGGTAGCACATCAATCTCATATATGTGTATATAAATTAATTTTTATGCTGTCTTTTATCAAGTAATATTGAAGATGGTTCTAATTTATTGCATGTAGAGCTGCCACATTGGTTTAACTGCCGCATAAACATGTTGGTCATAGTTCGTTTCCTAGCTTATAAAACTGGTTTGCAACCCCAGAGAGGGTCACATGCTATAAATGGGTGTCCTAAAATGAGGGAAGACCCTTTAAACATAAAATTACTGATTGCTCCAAAGAACTATTGTCTATGTAGTTTATAGATGTTTATTGTAATAAAACGCATCTGTATTTTGTTAAAATTATTGTTATATGTTTATATAAGTAAGTGATTCTTACAAAATGCAATGTTTATGTCATGTAACAAATCACAACTGTACTGAATTATTTCTATGTGAACACTACTGGAGATGTCTTTTGTGGCATGTTGAGAGCTATAAAATACTGGAAATTTCCATTAGTATTATATCTCCAATAAAAAAAAACCCAATTGGAATGTTCATATTGACTAAATTGTGGACAGCAGTGATAACTAAATGGGTTTTCTTTTAAAAAAAAAGTTTTGTTCCCAGAACTGGGTGGTGAAGCTTTGATTGGTCATTTTGATAATTACAGGAAAAACTGGTCGTCTTCTTGGGCCGTGTTGCAGGGGTCATCTTTGCTCTTCACCAAGACCCAAGGAAGTAGCACAAGTTGGGTAAGTATTTTTCTCCTTTGGCAAGTACCTTAATTGAATTTCACTAAGTTTACTAAAGTTCTTTTAGTTATAACAGTGTGCAAATAAGTCAGTGAATTTGTAAACCTCTAAGTCATTTCTTCAAAGATTCATTTGAGTCATAAAAGAAAGGGCTAGTTCTCTTTTGCAGACCACAACACCCAAAAGGAGAGAGAGAACACAGGGGATTGCCCTGCCACAGAGACAGGGGGGATGGGGGGATGGGGGTGGGAGGGATATTATCCATGGTGGTGGAAAATGGGCACTGGTGGAGGGATGGGTATCTGATCATTGTATAATTGAAACCAAAGCACAAAAAATTGTAAATCTACAACTGTAAAAAAAAATAAAATAAAAGCAAAATAAAATAAAGGGAAAAAAAAAAGAAAGGGCTAGTTATTAGACAAGTCTAATTGTATTGAAAGCAAGAAGTTCTGTTGCATCTATTAGCTAAAAAGTAATACAAATTACATTTCTTGATTTACCTTCAGGATGTAAAAACTTTTGTGTAGTTGTGACTTTCAGACATTTAGTCAGAAAATGAAGTGGTGTCTGACGTTTAGATACCAGCCAGCTGTCCATAATTGTACATAGTGCCAGCCAGCTGCAGAATAAAAAAGAAATAACCACCTTTACTTAGGGGAATTTGAAGCTTTTTGCATATTTGAGTGTTTATTATCATTATCCTTAAGTTGTTTGTAATAAAAATGATCATTTGTAACATTATAACTGACACTTAAAATTTATTTATATTTAATCTTTGTAATTTTGGAATAGCTACTATCATCCTCTTATGGTAGATGAGGAAATAGGATGTTCAACAGGTAAGTGATGAGCGTAAGGTCTTAGCATTTTGGCATGAGTCTATGCTCTGGATATTTCTAAACATTTTGGTCATTGAAGTCAGTGCTTAAGTAAAATTTAAAATGAAGTTAATTTTTTGGGTCTGCTTTTTTAGCACACCTTAATTTTTAAAATAAATTTCTTTCAAATTAATAGGACCCATCCCCTTTTATGAAAAAGGAAGCCATTTATAAAATTCAAGCAAATTTCAGTCTTCTGCATTTTATAATGCAACAATGTAATAGTCTTCTAAACACTGGTATTTATGAACACTAGAAAGAATGTTCCCTTTCAAGTACTGATGTGGTCATTTAAAAATTCAATGTATTGTTCACAAATAAGAGCACTCTAGAATGTTTCTTGTGTGTTCTATATGATTCTTTTACTTATGCTCTTAACCCAGTACAGTAAGTAGAACTTTGGTCTTCCATATTAAGAAAGTGAGATTTTGGTTTGATTTATTGTACAGTGATTATTGTCTTTTTCCCCTAAGTAAGCATTGGTATTCTTGCGTTATGATTTATTATACAGTGATTATTGTCTTTTTTTTCCCTTAAGTAAGCATTAGTACTCTTGTGTTAGTGTTAATACATTTCCAGAGGAAAACAGAATTATTTCTACTTGAGATACAAATTTTATTTGAAATTAATTAAATAAAATTGATAAAAAACATTGATGTTTATAAATATATTTTTAAAAGTATCTGGAAGAAAGTTTAGTTATTGATTATTTCAGAGTTACTAATACCTAAAGATTAGAAGTTGTATTTATTTAAAAGCAAAGAGAGAGTATTATGCTGAGGAATTGTTTAGTAGACAAATTGTGTTGGATTTAAAAAAAAATGGAAACTGGGGTCTGGAGCAATAGTACAACGGGTAGGGTGTTTGCCTTGTACATGGCCAACCCAGGTTCAATTCCCAGCATCCCATATGATCCCGTGAACACTGCCAAAAGTAATTCCTGACTGCAAAGTCAGGAGGAACCCCTGTGCATTGCCGGGCGTGACCCAAAAAGCAAAAGCAAAAGAAAACTTAAAAAAATCTTAAACATATTAAATGAATATATTCAGAAAATAATTAGTACAAATTGCTTTTTCACAAAGGAATGAGGATTTTATTTAAAAATTTCACTCTTGAATGACTTTAACAATTTAGAATTTATAATTAAAACTAATCCTCACTCTAAGGGTCTGAAATATTCTTCCACTTCACCTATGTTTGAGTTACCGTATTACCACGTAATAGTAGTAGAAACTTAGCTTAAAAATCACCATTTTTTCAACTGTAGAATTCTTAGTGAATTTGAATAAGGGAGAATTAGAGAAGTTGTTAAGTAAAATTATATATCATATTAATACATTATGGTAATAATTTCTAATTGTTAGAATTAAGTCAGGTATAGCCAAGTAAAAGAAGTATAGCCAAGTGGGATGTAATAAAATACTTGATTCTGTACTTAAGTTCTTAATTATTATTTCATAGCAGAATTTTAAATCTCAAACTATCTTGCTTTTTCTTCCCTCTTGTAACACGTAAGGGAATGAACCTAATAATCAGTAAAAGCAAGTCAGATTTCTTACTTAAGGAGCATGTGTATAATTTATTTTAGCATATACAGCATTTCTCAGTACTTAAAATTAGTGATACATGCAGATTTTCTCACTTAACTTTCCTTTTACTCTAAAAGGATTTGAGTAAGAATTCTAGCTTTGTTTCTTTGCTCAGTCTCTGCTGGTCTGTTGTAGGCAGATTGTATCCCAGTAGACAATGAAATTGAATTACCTGTAAATGATGTTCTAAGGCTAGCACAAAAGCAAAAGAGACAGAAATCACCCATCAAGAAAATTGCTCTTGACTCTTAGGAAGCTGCTAGTGAGATGCCAAGTCTTTAGCAGAGCCAGTTTTTCTCTTTAGTATTTGATTGCTTTTTGGATGGCTTATGTTAAAGCAATATGGTTCTTTCGGATCCAATTCACATTCAATGCAAAAATATTCACCAAAATCTGCTTGAAGAAATTTCAGATTCATGTGCGTGTGTGTGTGTGTGTGTGTGTGTGTGTGTGTGTGTGTGTGTGTGTGTTGGGAGTGGTGTTTGGGTTTTGGAACTACATCTAGCTTTGCTCAGGCTCTCCTCACTCGGATCCATACCAGGGGTCAAAACTGGGCTTACCTTCATGCAAAGCAGGCTTCTTACCTCCCATACTATTTCTCTGACCCTTAGATCAAATTTTACAATTCCTGAGCATGTACTCATCGAGGGAGTGCTGAGCTAATCACTCATACTTTGAAATTTTGTATATAAAGCTCATTCACACTTTTAATTTTTTATCAAGTTAAAAATTGAGCTGACCTGAAGCCCTTAGGCTGCATGCAGCAACTCTGAGTCAGATAACTTTCATGGAGGTGCTCTGCATCTAAAATTCAGTGGCCTCTCCTCCTGTTTTCATTTGAATGAGTTCCAGTTTTGTGTTTTTGAAAAATTTACCTAGTCCCATCAAATTGTTTTACCCGTAACATAAATTATTCTTGCTTTTCTCTTTAGCTTCCTTTACCTCATTTATACAGTAGATTAGAAAAGCTGCATCACTCAGCACTGTGTTAAGTAAGTGTGGAAGTTTGAAAGTAAATGACATGGTCCTTGTCCTGACATAATAGAGAAGAACATATGTGTGATAATAATATGATTTACCATTATTGTGTTCTCTCCCAGAGATTCATCTCAAGTCTGTAAATTTGGGGTGGGGGTGGGAAATGGGGACACTCACGGCAAGACTTGTCTCATCAGTGTTTCTTCACGGTTCAATGTTCAGGCCCAAAGTTGTGGTGCTGCTTGGGCCCATTATTATTATTGTTGTTTTTAAATCTGACAAAATGGACTAAAGAGATTTTCTTATTGAATAATGAGATAATACAGTTACAAAGTTGTTCTTGATTGAGTTTTGTTTATACAGTGTTCCAGCACCCGTCCCTTCACCAGTGCACATTTCCCGCCATCCTGTTTCCCTCCTGCCCCCCGCCCTGCCCCCACAGACTTCGTCTGTGACAGACACTTTCTTCTCTAACTCTTATTTTCCTTGTAGGCACCGTGGTTACTGAAAGGGTATCTTGCATATCACTTTACCTGCTTTCAGCACTAAGTTCTTGTCCAGAGTGATCATTACCAACTATTATTGTCATGTTGGTCCTTTCTGTGCCCTAACTGCACTCCCCATCCCCTTTGAGGCAAGCTTCTTCCCACGGTCCAGTCTTCCTGGCCCTTGTTTCTGTGTCTCTGGGTATTATTCACATACTATGTGTGTTTGTTTGTTTTACTATCACACAAGAAGGTTTATTTCTCTATTACCTGACAAGCTTCTTTTTCCTCACACTTTTGGATCTGTTCTCTGCACTAATAGGTGAAAAAAATTATAGCATTTGTTTCTTTGTTAAAATGGTCCTTGAGCCACTTTATTTGAGCTATGTTTTCCATGAGCTATGTCTCACATTTTTCAATTTTAAAACTTTTATAATCAAGAGAAGAACTTGAGGTAATCACCCATTTGGTTTACTTTTAATAAAATTTGTCTTGATTCTTTTCGAATACACACTTGCATATGAATATTACATGTAGGCTTTTCCTTTTTTTCAAAGTTTGGGAGTAATCAATCCAAACCAGAGTTCACAGTGGACCTTAAGGGGGCAACGATTGAGATTGCTTCAAAGGAGAAATCCAGCAAAAAGAATGTATTTGAGGTAATAATTTTTTTTTCTAATTCACATTCCTAATCATAGTAATTGAATATTCTCTTTTGGTTATATTTGGGATAGTCTTTCAGTGTGAATAGTGAAGGCAAAATTGGTATTTAAGTCTGTTTATGTCATAAGTTTAGGGGAGAAAAGGCTGCTTAAAGATCCAGACTTCCTTATATAAATTTTTGAATCACTGACTGTACACATTGTAAGTCTTCGTTCCATTAAGTTTGCCTTTCCTTCTGTAATAATAAAAAAGTATATAGTGTTCTTTACCTACATAACCTAATACTAAAAAATAACTTAAAACTCTGCTAATTTATTGGAAACCCTCTACAGTAATACATGATCACATATCTGTTATTTTATACAGGCCACTCCAAAACTTAGTAGCATAAGGAAATAACAATTTTATCTTCTCAGTTGATGATTAAAATTCTTCAGTTGTGATTGAGTTAAGCTGGATGGTTCTTCTGATCTCATTGATACTTTTCTGGGTTGGAGGTTGGGAGCTGGTTCAGTCATGTAGAAGGCTGGATGATCAAGTTCATATGTTTGGTATTGGTGCAAGTTGTTGGTTTAAACTCTTCCTACATAAGACGTCTTATTATCAAGAAAGTACCACAGGCCTTGACACTAATTTCCACAGTTTCCTACTGACCTCCCAAGCCCACCCTTTAGCATAAAGTAATTTATATTGCTTGTTACATGTATCTCACAATGGTGTTACCAAAGTCATTATTAGGGGATTTACTGAGATGCTAGTTGAGCCTGCTGTGTCACTATTTTTTGCTGATTGAGTCTAGTGGGCTTCTATGCAACTTTTCCATCTAATTTGCTGTGCTCCTACTAGACTGTCAGTACTGTGAATTTTGGAGATGTTGAGGGCCATTTATGTGGCCGCATGCTCTAGGAGCTGCGGAACTGGGGTGATTCAGCAGCATAGGAGCTGGTTATGTGCCCAAGGAAGTCAGGTGTTGGTGGGACTCTGGGCTTTCTGGCAGAGTGTGAACTCAGCCCATCCCCATCTCAAGAAGTCTCCAGAGGTCTCAGCCCGAAGACCAGACCTGTCTGGGACAACTCAGCTTCAGTGTCACTGCCTAGAAAAATTCTTGAAGGAACGAATCTTGTTTAACTTCCTTCAACCAACTATTTGTCAAGCTAGCCTCACAACTGGCTTTTAATTTATTTTTTGAGAAATACCTTTAAAATTTTTTTGGAGTGGTTTTATGTTTGTTTTGGTTTTGGGGCCACACACTTGGCAGCAGAGGCTGCTCCAGGCTCTGTGCTTAGGAATTGCTCCCAGCGGTGCTTGGTGATCTTGAGGTAACAAGTTGAACCCAAGTCTGTTGCACAGTCCATTGAATTCTCTCTACAGCCCCGAGAAATACCTTTTTAAAAATATTATTTTGAAACTGTATTTTAGGAATATGTTTCAAGAATGTCGTTTGAGAAACATTGCCATATGTTACTCTAGGAAGAGAAAATATCAGCCACCAACCAGAGAAAAAAACAAATATTTTCTCCAATTATCTCAAAATTCTTCCTCAGTCAAGTGTAAGAACTGGGACTAGTATTTATAGATAAATTGGTTACTACCTTCATGTAGAATGCTTCATCATATCTCTAGTTGGCTGATGATTAATACTTAATTTCATAGTATTTCTGCACCCAGAGGATGTGACTTTATTTTTTTTAAATGCAGGAGTACTGCTATTTTTTCAGCCATTGGTTAAGCTGATTGAATTGGGCATGAACTCCACATTACTTTTATTTTGCTTCTTTTATTGAACCATTGTGAGATACAGTTACAAAGCTTCCATGTTCGAGATTCAGCCATATCATGATTGAACACCCATCCCTCCACCAGTGCACACTTTCCACCACCAGTGTCCCTGGTATATCCCCCTTCCCCCATCCCAGTCCTCACCCTGCCTCCATGGCAGGCAATTTCCCCAATACTCTCTCTCTATTTCTGGGCATTATGTTTTGCTCAAATTTTCCCACCACCATTCAAGCCTGCCTGCCAGGGGATGATGCTAGATCATCCATTGTCCATTGTCATTATTGTCCATAGCTCATTTTGAATATCATGGGTGCTGTGAGGATGTGACATTTATTGTCTGTGTGCTCTCTTTATATAAAGCCATTACATTTGACTATTATCTTGGAAATAAAGTCTAACACTTTATGTATTTTTGTGTATATCTATTTTTAACTATAGTTTATAATTATGTTTAACAGAAAAAATCAGATTTATGTATAAAATATCATAGATTGATTTCCTTACAAATGAATTATGGCTTAATTTAAGATGAATAGCATTGATACTTGAACTTTCTCTTTTTTTGGTTTTTTTTGCAGTTTTTGTTTTGTTTTTATGGTGTTCACACTCACTGGACTCATACTTGCTATCTGGTACCTGGGATTAAAATTCCTGAGCCACATCTCCAGCCAATTGACTTAACATTTGTAGTGTTTTGGGAGGAGTCACCCCCAAAGGTGCTCAGGCTTTATTCCTGGCTTGGCTGGGGAATCATTTGATATTGGGGATTGCACCTGAGTTGGATGCATGCACAGCAAGGACCCTGTTCACAGTACTATCTCTCTAGCCCGAAAAATAATATTTTTGGTGTTTTTTTTTTCTTTTTTCTTTTTTTAAAAAAATTTTTGCTACACCTAGTAGTACACAGAGCACTGTAGCACTGTAGCACTGTCCTCCTGGTCATCGATTTGCTCGAGCAGGACCAGTAACATTGTGAGACTTGTTGTTACTGTGTTTGGCATATCGAATATGTCACAGGTAGCTTGCCAGGCTTTGCCGTGCGGGCGAGATACTCTCGTAGCTTGCCAGGCTCTCCGAGAGGGGCAGAGGAATTGAACTTGGATTGGCCTGTCGGCCGCATGCAAGGCAAACGCCATACCTGCTGTGCTACCGCTCTAGACCAGTACACAGAGAATAGTCTTATTTTGGAACTTAAGGTGTCATGTGATATCAGGACTTGATCTGGAGCTTGTGCTCTAGGCCTTTGGGCCATCTCCATCTTCCCATCTTCCCCAAACTCATTTTTTAGTGATTAAATGTACTAGATTTTCATCATAGTTCATGACATTTATGTGAAGAAGTTTGGGGTTCATAAATTACTAGATGATCACCAAGAGTTTGTTGTGAGAAATGCCCTCATGTTTCATAAAACAGTTTAACTGGTATTACTTGATACTAAAATGAAAGATTCAGCCACTGTGTAATATTTAAAATTTTAATCACCATTAATATGACATTCAACCTGCTGATGATTTTATAAATTTAGAATTTAATATATTTATTTGGTTTAAAGCACCAATCATAACTACTTCTGTTTTTCTCTCCTCTAAAGCTGAAAACCCGCCAAGGAACGGAGCTGCTTATTCAGTCTGATAATGACACTGTTATCAATGACTGGTTTAAAGTCCTTAGTAATACTATCTGTAATCAGGTATGTGTTTGACTAAGGGTTTTTTGTTTTGTTTCATTTTGTTTGTAAAATTTTAGAGCTATTTCATTTTTGGCATTTAGTTAGTTGTTGATTATGAAGTTTCCAATTCATATGTGGAAGAAACACTTTATTTTGTAATATTTATAATTATTATATTTTGTCAGAGGTAGGAAAGATAGTGGTCAATTTAGCAATTTCTGTAAGTTGGTAAAAAAACTTTTTTTTTTTTTTTTTTTTGCTTTTTGGGTCACACTGGCAATACACAGGGGTTACTCCTGGCTCTGCACTCAGGAGTTACTCTTGGCAGTGCTCAGGGGACCATATGGAATGCTGAGAATCGAACACACATTGTCTGCATGCAAGGCAAACACTCTCCCTGCTGTGCTATCTCTCCAGCCCCCCAAAACTTAATGTTTTTATTTATATAATGTTACTGTATTTTAAAATTGTTTTCACGAGGCATTGGTCCAAAAATTTTTTTCTAACAAAAAGAAAAAGGTACAGTCAAATTGTCCTCAGCACTTAGTATTTGGAATGAGTTGGAAACCCTTTTACAATTAGGTGTGAGCAGACCCGTGGCAGAATCCTGAAGGGAATGAAGCATGTTTTGCCATTAGCACCTTTTCTCTGCTGATGTCCCCCTTCCTGCTTGCTTCCAGCCAACTGGTGTTCAGTACCCTCATGTTCCTGATAAATTTATTTCTGTAATAGCAACCAAAAAGAACCTCTAATTTGTTTTCGAAAGCTGTGTTCATAAGAGCAGCAGTAGTCATGCAGGGGCTGTTTTCTCACCTCCTCACCAGGGATCATTGTCAACAGCAGAAGGGAAAGCTTTATCACACTAGATATTAATTTATTAAAATTTGAACATTTAGGAACAGATTGTGGTTTAATTTTTTTTAATTATTATAATAATTATTATTTTGGTTTTTGGGCCACACCTGGTGGTGCTCAAAGCTCCAGGCTCTGAACTCAGGCAGGACTCTGGAAACCATATGGGGTGCTGGGAATTGAACCCAGCTCAGCTGCATGCAATGCAAGCACCCTGCCCACTGTACTCTCTCTCCCTCTTTCTCCCTCCCTCTCTCCCTCTGTGTCTCTTTCTCTCCCCCTCCCTCCCTCCCTCCCTCCTTCCCTCCATTTCTCCTTCCTTCCTTCCTTCCTTCCTTCCTTCCTTCCTTCCTTCCTTCCTTCCTTCCTTCCTTCCTTCCTTCCTTCCTTCCTTCCTCTAAATGGGGACTAAAACCATTATGATACACTGGCTTTAGTAGACAGTGGTGTCTTTCAGTGATCACTGTTCATAAGGTTTGTGGCCTTACCAAGACATTCTCCTGCTTATAAAATAGAGAAGTGGGACTTGGTTGTCTCTAAATGCTTTTTAAGTTCTAAAGTCTTACGATTTATGAAATTTAAAACCACCCAAGTTTGGAATCTGAGTATTTCACTCTCTGCTCCTACTTTTACCCTCTAGCACATTATCCCCTTATCTCTAGATAAGGTTTTCCTCTGCAGTTTATAATGTGGTATGATTTTTCTCAATCTTGTCTCCTTCTTTTACTTTCCCTTTTATTCTTGAAACCACAGAGTGTCCTTTAAGTGGTCATACAAAGTAAAAGTAATTTAAATACTTTGCTTATTATTTTTTGTTTTTATTTTTGTTACGGTGCCAGAGATCAAACCCAGGGCCTCATACATGCAAAGCATATACTTTACCACGGAGCCACCACTTAACTACACAGCTTAGTGTTCCTTATATAATCTCAACTCCAGCCAGTTCACTCTTTAATGCCTTAGATATATAAAACTTCTTAAAGTCAGTTTTTTGATCCTCTTCTCAGAAACTTAATGTGATTCCTATTAAAATTAAACTTCCTGAGGCCATAATTATCTCTTCAAATGTACTTTCAGTACTACCCATGTTGGCTTACAGCTCTAGTCACTATAATCTGTTCACTGTCCCTTGAAAGTAAATACACTTGCATTTATTGAACAAATACATGAATACCTTACACAATGAGGATATAGAGGCACTTTACTGGATGCTTCACCTTTCTCTATGGAACTTAGAGTCAGACGATTAATGAAGACAATGAAACATTAAAATAATGAATTGTTATCCGTTTTATGATCATAGGAGTAAGGGATGTATGGTGTACATCTTTAAAACACTGTAAAAAAGGAAAATAAAAGCAAAGCTAATCTAGCTAGGAGTCAGTGAAGGTCTTATAGAGAAAGGGGTATTTTGTCTTGTTTTGTTAATTGAGACCTACAGGATCAGGAAATGTGAACCAATGAAAAGATAGAAAGGTTATTGACTCTGAAATTTAAGAATATATTCTAATTACAAAGTGACTAAAACACTTAGGAGCAAATATACCATGAATTATATAAGACTTAATCAGGAAAAAAATTATAGAACTCACTGAAGAAAACCTAACTAAATGAGAAGTATATCATGTATATGGATTCAAGGATTCAGAAATGTCAAGATCCAGTTTTCATACATGTGTATGACAGTCACAGATATGATATTTGAACATTCCCCTTTAGAATCCTACTTGGTTTTCTGCTCGAACATGACCAGCTTATTATACTTTTCTTTGTTTTGAGGCTAGTCTTGGGCCATGCTTGGGCGACTTTGGTACGCGGGTGACCCAGCGGTGCTGGGGGCTAAGGTCAGTGCTCTGGCACACAGAGCAAGTGCTCCATCCTTTGCAGAGCTCTGCCCGGCCCAATAGGATTACTCTCAATTGACATAGAAGTGCAAAGGGCAAGAATATTCTCAACACTCGTGAAGGAGAAAATAGGACTTGCTGTAATCTGTTGGGAGTGTTGGTGATGTGGGCTCCACTCACCATGCTCGGGCTGGCGAGCAGGCTACTCCTGATGGGGCTCACTCCTGGCAATGCACAGAGGATTGTGCAGTGCACAGCATATGTTCCTAGGCCTTTGACCTGTTCCCCAGGCCATAGACGGAGACTTTGGAAAGCTCTGTCAATATACAGTGATGCTGGAACAGACACGCAGGCCTGTGGAACAGAAAGAATCCAGAAATAGGTTCTGTTTAGAAATATACTCTGGACACTTCTTTGCAGACCTAACATAGTAAGAAAATGAGAAAAGACAGATTTGGGGGGGGTGCAAATGATGCTGGGTCAACTAGAGTATTTAGAAAACAATTGTGACCTTTTGTACTATATGCAAAAACTAATTCCAGAATTAAGTCAGTAGGAAAAGGAAAACATGGCTTTTAACTTGCAGAATCTAGTTCAGTTTTTTTTTTTTTCAAACTTGTAAAAGTGATACTGCTTTGCCTTTTTATTATTAATTTTGGTTTTTAGGCCACACCAAGAGGTGCTCAGGGCTTACTTCTGGCTCTGCGCCCAGGGATCACTCCTGGTGGGCTTGGGAGACCATATGGGGTGCCAAGGATTAAACCCAGGTTGGCCACGTGCAAGGCAAATGTCCTCCCTGCTGTACCATTGCTCCTGCCCCATTCTATACCTTTTTTCGATGAACTGTAAGGTTTCTTTCAATTTCAGACATCTATAAGTTTGTGAGTTATGATTAACTCTTGACATAGTGCCCAGTGTACCCTTGTCTACTTGCTTTTTCTTTTTCTGTTGTCTCAGAAAATAGCTTTATCATATTCTTCCACCATATATTGTAGCTTGACCTTTTAAAACTTATCAGTGATATGCATTGATCAAAATGAAGCAAGGTAACCAATCATTAGATAGTACTCATACCCTGTGAATTTTTGTCTACTTTGAAATTCAGAATTCCACTTAAGAGGGAAACAATATTTTTGTGAAGATTTATTAGCTATATTTGTCACACATACTATATACTTGGTATGTATGACCTACTGGTTTTCTAAAAATCCTTCTGGAAAAAAATCCTTCCAGAGAGCCATTGACTGATCATCTGATAATTGTGCTAGTACATCTTAAATGTGTCAGAAGTAATGCATGTTTGGGAAATCTCTATTCAATAGACAGAAACAGAGGAAGCATTTGAAGAAGAGATACCAGATTCCCCAGGAATGGAAAAGCACGATAAAGAAAAGGACCATAAGGAGCCTAAAAAACTTCGTTGTAAGTTCTTTCCTATCAGCACATAATACTTTGTGTGAATGTAATTCTCTTGTAGTTCGTCAGAGGTTTAAAGTAAATACACAAAGTAAGAAAACTCTAAGTAGCGTAGGTATCTGTATTTCAGCACTGATTTTAACTTCAAGCTGTCCTGATACTTCTGAGAGAAAAATGTTAAAATGCTCTTCTGTTGAGGCTTTTAGCAAGCTGGACTTTATTTGTTTACAAATATAAAATTATGGCTTAAAGTCTTAGAAAGAATTTTCAATTTTAAGAATTCAAAACTCATAGGGTATAAGCAGTCCCAGTTTCCTACGGGACACCCGGCAGCCAACTCTGCCCTGGGGAATATGTGGACACGCCTTCTGCCCCAGCTCCTGCCTGCCTAGGGGCCAGTGTGAAAGCTGGTGTTACCACAGGGGTGGGGGGGGGGGGGTAGGGGTTCTACTGGGAGCATTGTTTGAATCCCACTTATAATAGGCCACAAACTACGGATTGAACTTTGAACTCTGAACTCTGTTAAATCTATTCCAACTATTTCACACTTACCTGAAAAAATTTTGACTTCCAAATGCATTAAATGCTTAGAAAACTGTCCTACTTCTATTGGCCCACATTCTAGTGAGGTGAGCAGCCTATTACTGTGACTATTATAGTGTAAATAATAAAAATAAATTTTACTGATATCATTATTTAGGCTTTCTAAAATTATTTTAGAATTACTTGTTTAACATTTTCAGTCTTTTCTTTAAATTTTATTTTTATAAAGTTGTTCACAATATTTACATTTTCAGTCTTGTAACTGAACAAGAAATGGGTCTGATGTAACATAAAACAACTCCTATTTCAGAGTATAGATTATAAGATGTAAAGTGCAGATAATTGTGAGATACATGTTTTATGTAAGGAAGGGAGTATCTCAGTAAGGATAAGGATTTTTATGTTTTATGGCTTTCTTTTATTTTCTTTTTCTTTCCTTTTCTTTTCGTACCATGCCCTGTGATGCTCTGGGTTTACTTTTGCCTCTGTGCTCAAGGATCATGGAGCATTTGGAGGGGCCATGTGCAATATTGGGGATTGAACCTGGTTGGCCCCAGACAAGGCAAGCACCCTCCCTGCTGTACTATCACTCTGACCCCATTTATGGATTTTTTTTTAATGCTTTGTGGATTTTTCTGGATTATCTAAATTTAGAATTTTACAGTCTAAAACTGATGAGAGTCCAAGATAAATAGTAGCACTTATGAAATAATGATTATAAGTTAGAATATCTTAAAGTTTTTTGGCACACACGCCAAAGAAAGTAGCTTGTTTGGTTTATCTTCTTCTTTTTTGGGGGGGGGGTCACACCTGACGATGCACAGGGGTTACTCCTGGCTTATGCAAATTATTCCTGGCGTTTGATCAGGGGACCATATGGGATGCTGGGAATCAAACCTGGGTTGGCTGCCTATAAGGCAAACACCCTACCCCTGTGCTATCGCTCGCTCCAGTCCCTAGTTTATCATTTTAAACTGTGACTTTTGCATGTGAGATTAATCTTAGTGCTAGGTAGAAAAACTTACCAAAGAAAGCATGGGATGCTTAATATCTTTTTTCTGTCTTTAAGCCATGAAAATGTCTAGTATAGATTCTTCTGAACAGAAAAAGACCAAGAAAAATCTAAAGAAGTTTCTTACGCGACGTCCCACTTTGCAAGCTGTTCGTGAAAAAGGTTATATTAAAGGTAGGTATGGTTGTTTATAATAATGAACTTGGACTGTATTCAGAATTAATAACAGTTAAATTAAAAACTGAAAAAAAAATCCGAACAGTGAAATGCTTTCATTCTTTATTCATTAAAGTTATTAGGTTCAGTTATTAAAATACATTAGGGTAATTAAATTTGATTTTTTAAATATTCATGAAGAGTTTAATTAAGGTATTAACAGAAACAAATACATAGCAAACCAAGTTTTTAGAAATCCTGACCCAGAGGCACCACCTGAATATGATGAGATTGGTGGAACAAATCAGAAGTTTTGAAGAAATGATCACTAATAAAATAGAAATAAAGAGGAGAAGAATCAATTTTATTCGGGTGTTTCTTCAGTTCTACATTTTTTACTTTATTTATAAGTACCACGAAAAAGAGAATCTTTTCTAAATAAAGTATATAGTAAAATCACAGAATACATGTGTAGATACATTTACTTCTCATAAAGCTTTTCAACTGACATTTATTCAGAAATTCAGGTCAAGGCAAAGGAAAATAAGACATGGTATTTCACTGTATAGTCATTGAGCTGTTTTTAAGCAGTGCTGGCAAAAAAAAAAAAAGAATTAAAAACCTTATTATAGTCACAGCTCACTGTTTCGCAAGTTAAATGTGACATAAAATCTGCAATGATTATGCTGTGAAATGCAGTACATATTATATATCTGACTATGAAGCTTTTAAAAAAGATTATCACTGGAACATCTGTTTGCAAAGCATCTAAATTAAAATGTACAAAAGGGTTTCATTAAAAAGATACTTAAAACTTCTGGAAGAGTTTGGCTAATTAAGTGATTCAAATTAGCAGCCTAATAACATTCCAGATAATGCATATGAATTTATCAGGGAGCTTAGAACCTTTTAAAACAAGCCTCCAAGATAAATGAATACAAACTGTATTCATTTGTTCACCAGACCTTTTCATTGAGAAATACAAACCTGTGTTTTAACTTCAGATAACTTTTTTCTAAATATTTAGTACTAACATGGCAATTTGAAATATAGGGTTGAAAGACTAATACCGTTTTGTAGGGTAACATTACTTTGTCCTTTCTCCCTTGCCACAAGGAACTTAGGTTTATCGGGTCACACCCATCAAAGTGCTCCCAAGTCACCCTGTTCTTTTGTTTATCTGTAACCACTTCTGTGCTCTCTTCCCCAAATAGTTCATCAGCTTATTCCCCTAACCTGTTTCTGTTCATTTGTAAGGTCAGATCTTTCTAGGACACTGAACTTATAAGTTAATATTGCCTTTCTCCTCTCCTTGTATCTTTTGAATAGTTTACTTTAAAGCAATGTCCTTTTGTATAGACACAAGAAGACAATATTATGCTTTTGTAACATGGGATTTAATTGGCTTCGAATATTATTCATTCCCAGGCATCTGCTTTCTCAATTTAAGCCTCAGTTGCCCTCACTTCATAGAGCCCCCAAAAGCAGGGTCCTGACGAGGGACTGGATGGAACCAGGGCAAGCGGTAAGCTATGTGCTACCTTTGCATCGAGATGGGCCTGGCCCAAGTGCCACAATTCTTAATTATAAGAGCTTGATCATGACAAATGCTGTCATGATCCAAAAGTAATGACAAGACTAGGACCCTGCTAGGGATAGGAAAGACTAATCTGGCCTGAACACTGTAGTGTGAGATTGAGATGACCGTAGGAGAGCAATTCTATAAGCTTAATGCATCTCTTACTGTGTCCATACGAAATGACTAATATTATGAATGCTTGTATGTTTGTTGGACAAGGAGAGGAGAAACACACCCATGGAATTCCACCCTTGGGTGGGTCATCCTTCTGAAAGAGAATCTGTCCTAGAGGCAGCATCCCCTGAGGGAAAGAACTTTACCCCTATTGATTGTGACCACACCTATGTGTAAGCCCAGCCCCTCATGGTTTGGGGTTTTAAGGAGACTGTAAGGTGGAGGGATTGGTATTGGATCATTGTATAACTGAAAGAAACGCAAGCACAAAAATTTGTAATTCTACCACTGTACCTCGTGGTGTTTCACTAATAAAAATTAAAAAAAAAAAAGAGTGGGATGAGGGGTGAAGGCGAGATCAAGAGTCAGAGCCAGAAAGAGAAAGGGGTTCCAGATCGGGGGCCGGGAGAGAAGGAAAGAGACAGAGAAAGGAGTGAACAGGGATGAGAATGGAATAAACAGCATCTGATCAATCAATCAACCGGCTTGGCCCTTGTTTCCTCCACTGTCTGCCCCATGTCCCGGGCTGCCCCGACTGGGGGAGCGGCCCCGGGCCCCCCCAGAACATGGGCGGCTGGTGAAGGAGCCATCGGGGCCATCCCCTGGCTGCCTGTTTGAAATATATTTTGTGAAATCAAGTATGAGCACATAATGAGCATGTACCAGCTTGCTTTGATTGTTTAATTATTCTAGTATTTACTGAAGTAGTCATGACTGACCTGGGTTCAATTCCTCCGCTCCTCTTGGAGAGCCCGGCAAGCTTCCTAGAGTATCTCGCCTGCATGGCAAAGCCTGGCAAGCTCCCCGTGATGTATTCAATATGCCAAAAACAGTAACAACAAGTCTCACAATTTGTTGTGAAATGTTACTGGAGCCCGCTTGAGCAAATCAGTGAACAACAGAACAGTGCTACCTTGCTACTTAGATAGTAAATGAGTAAATGAGCCTGTATTCTGAGTACCTGTTGGTGTTCAGAAATTTTAAGGTCTGTTCATTTAAGAAATATAAGAGAGGACAAAATAATTTTTATTTTAGAAGCTTTTTTCATTAAAAATTTTTTAATCTGAATTTTTAAAAAATGTAGACAAAAGCGACAACTGTTGATACAAATCTAACAGTCACTAAATTTAGACTGCATGTGGTCCCCTGAGCATCACCAGGGGTCTCTCCTGAGCACAGAGCCAGGAAGAGCCTTTGGGTATAGCTCAAATTAAATTTGAAAAATTATAAATAAATATAGGCATAATAATAGAATAGTGGTAATTAATATGAAGACTCTAACAGTAATGGAATTGTGACTGAAATGGAGCGAGCTCAACTAGAACAAGCAGAGGATTTTTTTTGAGGAGGTGATGTTTTATTAAGACCAGGAGTGAGAGCTTGGCCATCCACCGTCTTCCTAGAAGCCTCCACATCATGAGAACTGAGTGGAGAAAGAAGCAGATGCACAGCCTGAAGAGCAAAAGATGAAAGAGGAGGCAGAATTCCAAGAAAACTGGCAGATTCTGCACCACATGAAGCCATAGGAGTTTCTGAAGGAAGGAGTGGCAGAGATGGGGGACTTGGGTACAAACTAATTCGTGTGCTGTCTAGAACTCGTCCTGCTGTATCTGGAGCACATCATCATCTGTTCACCACTACCACCTTTGAAAGACAGACCCTCGGTGCTCCCATCAAAACAGTCCCTTCCAGTACTTTGTCTAGGACCTCGCATTCTAGTTCTATTCTTGACTGGCTGAATGTAATGTGTCCAATGAATCATCCCTTCTGTCTTGGCTGGAAAAAAAAAAAAAACCAAAACCCAAAAAAGACCAGGAGTGATAGGGAGAAGCTAAAATTGGGGTAAGATTGGTATCTGCAAAAGGAGTAAGTAGAAAAAGACTGTTTTGCAAGAATAAATTGAAGTGTTCATGCAGTTCAGTAATGAAGAAACATTTTGAAATGATCTGCACAATGTAAAGTACTTAAGATGCAGATATTTTTGCCTGTTGTTCCTCACTGCCTCGGTGCACCTTTTGGCTTTTGTGTCAGGGTCACACCCAGTACTGGTGGGCGCTACTCCTGGCTCAGTGCTTGGTGACCACTCCCAGCTCAGGAACCACCTTGGAGCTATCTCCCTGTTTCCTTGGGTATACTATTTATCTTCTATTGTGCAATCATTGTTTTAGCCATTTTGTGAATAAAATTTTAGCAGGGTGGTTCATTTTTTAAAATAAATCGAGGCAGAAAATCAAATTGAATTAATCTCTTTCAGATCAGGTATTTGGATGCAATCTTGCTAATCTGTGTCAGAGAGAGAACAGCACAGTGCCAAAATTTGTGAAGTTATGCATTGAACATGTTGAAGAATACGGTAAGAAAATCAAAATTTAATATTGAGAACTTTAATATTTAAATATAATATTTTATTTTAACATTGACTAATCCTTTGTCGTACCAGTAGAATTCAAGGATTTTTATGACTAAGAGTAGTGTAACCAGAAGCAGTCAGATGTTAACACAGAGCCGTCTTGTTTGCAAAGAAAGTTGTGTTTGTGTCCGTTTCAAGTTAAGACCTTTGTGGGCATCTATTCAAAATTCATTAATTATGGTTGATTAAACTTATGGTCTTCTTTGAAGCCATTCTGAAATGGCATTTGCTCGAAGTGAAGAATGTGGTGATTGTGAAAGTGGGCTTATTACAATAATAAGCAGTGTATTTGGCAGTGTAGAAGACAGGAAATTTTGTTTACATCATCTCTAATAAAAACGAGATGACATAACTTAAATCTCAACTGTGAAGTGTCTAAAATCCTCTTAATGCCATTTTCTTTAGCAAGCTAATTTTTATTTTTAACATAGCACAGCGGTAGAGCGTTTGCCTTACACACGGCCAACCCGGGTTCATTTCTCATGGAGAGCCTAGCAAGCTACCAAGAGTATCCCGGCTGCACGGCAGAGCCTGGCAAGCTCCCTGTGGCATATTCAATTTGCCAAAAATAGCAACAAATCTCACAATGGAGTCATTACTGGTGCCCGCTCGAGCAAATCGCTGAACAATGGGATGACAGTGCTACATTGCTACATATTTACAGTATTTTCGCTAGTTTTATATGAATGAATATGATTGTAATCACATTAACTTTACCTGCATATCATCCAAAACATTTCATAAAATTAGAGCATTTACATAGTTTCTCATTTCCCCCAGAGACTTCTTGCCTTTTGACTCATTGTCAGAAAGACAGTGGCAACACCACACTGCATGTCTTTATTAAAAATTTGCTGAATAGTACATTGGATACTTTGTTGTACAGCATTATCATTTAATGAATATTTTATGACTTTCAAATGATGATATTCTATGTTTGAAAGAAATCAATAAACTACAAATTATCCATTGTTATTTTAGTTGGTAGTTAAGTATGTTGGACTGATTTTATTATTTTATTCTTTTTGAAGTAAAAACAGTTTTTATTTGAAGGTTTCAGGAAGGGGAAGAAGTGAGAGAAAGTGAGAGAGTAACATGCTGAAGAGAGAACACGGGCTTCTCCATAGGTGGAGAGAGCCCCTACACACATCCCAGCATTAGTTAGGAAAGTATACATCTCCCGGGGGAAGATGCAGGTGACACATGTTCTCGGCCATGTGGGCACAAGCAGCACGTGGGCTCAGGCAGCATACATGCCGTGGGCTGATTTTATGTATTACCTTCCTTTACTCTATGAGCTATCCCCATTTTATCTTAAAATTTTGACATTTCAAGTTTAATGAAATGATTCCCTTGAGATGAGCCACAGTTTACTTGATACCATAGAATCATTGCTGTTTAGTTAACAAAATTCAAAGTGAATCTCCAACTCTCTTCTTCCTGTGAAGCCTGAATAAAGAGGCATTTAGAGGAAAGGGTATTTGCCGATTTGATTATGGGCTGATGAAACGTGCGTGCATGTTTAGAAGTAGAAAACAAATGTGTTAAACATAACAATATTATTTGTCTCAGGTTTGGATGTTGATGGGATTTACAGAGTAAGTGGTAACCTCGCGGTGATCCAGAAGCTGCGATTCGCTGTTAATCACGGTAAGTTCATACTCGCTGTTAATCCAGGATAACAACTCATAACTATTCAAATTGATATAAAGTAAGTTTAAAAACTGTTTTGTTGCCACTGTTTTTCAGATGAGAAATTGGACTTGAATGATAGTAAATGGGAAGATATCCATGTCATCACTGGAGCCCTCAAAATGTTTTTTCGAGAATTACCAGAACCTCTTTTTACATTTAGTCATTTTAATGATTTTGTTAACGCAATTAGTAAGTATGTAATTTCATACAGTGTTTGTTTTCCCTAGACTGAAAAAAGAAAAAAGGATTTTCAAATCCTTTGCACAGATGAAGCTACTTCTGTTTGATCTTATTTGAAACAAGTGTTTTCAAAGGATTGTTTAACTTCAGAAAATTTTAATATGACCACCAGATGTCACTGTGTATTACCAAATATGTGTGTTACCAGACTCTGTCACTACTTTCAGTTTCTTGCAAAATCTCTAGTTGTTACCTATTTCCCCTCCAGAACAAGAACCGAGACAGCGAGTTGCTGCTGTTAAGGACCTAATCAAACAGTTGCCAAAGCCAAATCAAGATACAATGCAGATTCTGTTCAGGCATCTCAAAAGGTGAGGATCTTACAGAAAAGTGAATTAGTGCGCCCCCCCCCCCCCCCCCCCCCAAATAGAAACCCGTACATAAAAGCAAGAACTATACCAGTTAGGAGATGTGGTGTGGCTATCTGTGGCTGATGCCAGGATTACTCAGACACATGCTAAGATTCCACTGTGCCATGTGCTGTCTCTTTATGTTGGAAAGGGCACACAGGTCCTGTGAGTTTTTGTCCCTCATCAGCCTGATGGCCTGATTAGTACATTAACGTCAATTTTATATGCAAGGCATTTCTGTAATGCCTAATAGGTAGTCCTAGTTAAAAATGAATTTTGCAGGGGCTCAAGTGATATGACAGTGAGTAGGGCCTTTTATACGATTGACCCAGGCTAATCCCTGGCATCCCATGTGATCCCCCATGCCCTCCAGGAGTGATCTCTGAGCACAGAGCCAGCAGTAATCCCTAAGCACTGCCCAGTGTGGCCCCAAAACAAAACATACCAAAGTGTTGCATGTTAATAGGAAGATTATAGTGACTGTTAAGTGAGAAACACCAAATTACTTTAAAATAAGGACATCATGGCTAAGTTACGACATAGCAATTTTTTGGGGGGGATCATACCTGGCATTGCACTGGAGTTACTCCTAGCTCATGCACTCAGAAATTACTGCTGGCAGTGCTTGGGGGACCGACCTTATGGGATGCTGGGAATTGAACCCTGGTTGGCCGCATGCAAGGCAAACGCCCTACCCACTGTGCTATCGCTCCAGCCCCAACATAGCTACTTTAATAACTGTTTTTTCCTTCAGCCAGAATAAAACTAGAATACTAAAATTATTAGTATAGAGAATGTGTGTGTGTGTGCGCACATCTAAATCAAAAAGTGAGTGGCATAGAAAGTTTAAACTTGTGTACACTGATAAATTCTCCCTCTTATCTTATTGAGTAATCATTGGTAGTTGGATTGTGCCTTCGATTTAAATTTTTTAAAGAAATATAGAATATCTCACTAAGTTTTTCTCACATAATAAGTTTGTTAGAACATGTGTAATTATACCTTTCATCTCTGTTTATATGGAGAAAAGCTCAGGGGCCAGAGAGAGAGAATACAGTTAGGTGTGGCACTTGCTTTGCACATGGTCAACCTGGGTTTTATCATCAGCATCCCAAACCCAGCTAGAAATAAGTCTTGGGAACTGCTTGATGTTTCCAAAAACAAAACAAAGCAATATAATAATAAAATTCAATGGCATTTGGACTGAATTTTACTTGGTGCAGTTGATATGTAGCTTAGGAAAATGAACATCTATTTTTTCCTTCTAAACACTTTTCTCTTTCTAATACAATTTAAAATCTTTCTGTTTTTCATTTCCATTTTTTTGGGGGGTCGGTCACACCCGGCGATGCACAGGGGTTACTCCTGGCTCTGCACTCAGGAATTACCCCTGGCGGTGCTCAGGAGACCATATGGGATGCTGGGAATTGAACTCAGGTTGGCCGCATGCAAGGCAAACGCCCTACCCGCTGTGCTATCACTCCAGCCACTCATTTTCCTTTTAAACTATTTTTTTTTCTCCTTCAGAGTTATAGAAAATGGAGAAAAGAACCGAATGACTTATCAGAGTATAGCAATTGTTTTTGGGCCTACTCTCTTAAAGCCAGAGAAGGAGACTGGGAATATAGCAGTTCATACTGTCTACCAGAATCAGATTGTGGAATTAATCCTGCTGGAACTAAGCTCCATCTTCGGACGCTGACTCCTGCTGAAGACGTCCTGTGGAACAGAAGCTGGATTCCATCAGATTTCACATCCTTATTCATGATGTTTTTCATTTTTGGACCAAGCAGTGACTTTTTGATTTTTGCACTTTTTTTTTTTTGAGGGATAAGGTGGGAACGGGAGAGTCAAGATGTGTATTGCGCCCTCATATTTGCTGCTTTGTTGCAAGATGATATCACTGTGCGTGATTCTGAATTAATTTTATCCTGAATGTTTGCATTTCATACTCTGAATTTCAGTAAAAATTGAAACTTGTCCTTCTGACCAGTCATAAACACTGGATAATTTGGTAAGAAAGCTATGCTGGTGAGAATGCTATGGTTTGGGTTTTTCTTTTTCTTTTTCCCTCAAACTGGATAATGTAGCATTTCTTCTCATGATTCATTGGGTTCGCCACATAATAGAACAATACGTAGTATCAGTTATATTAAAAACGCTCTTGGGCATTTGAAAAAAAAATGATGTCTATCTGTTTCGAAACCTGTGTATTTCTTTTTCAGGGTTTCTGCATGCAGTGGCAGTCTGAGTGCTAAATTCATTAGAACCCAGATAGAATCCCCTGATGAAGGCTTTGCTTCTGTGCTGCGTAGCATCCTCATTGGATATCTTAGTTGCTTGTTCGAGCAGCACACTAATGTTACTTAAAACACTGTGATATGCTGGGGTTTAATTTAGTGTAAGTCCGTTCAGGGTACTTTGGGGTTGTCTGTGCTACACTTATCCTGTAGCTTACAACCCCGATTATATCTAGTGCCATACTGATTTCTTGGTATGACCCTGTGGAAGCAGACTTTATTTTATGTAAATACAGGCTAAAGACAATGTCTTTTAGCTTATGTGTATAATTGTGTTGTATAGTCTCAGAGTACATTCTAACCCTACATTTCTAATCACAATACTGGTAATCTTTTTCGTGAATATTAGGTTTCCTCCAGAAATAGGCCATTATTTGAGAAAGTTAACTGTGCACTTTTAGATTCTAATTACATTTACAGGCAAATCACTGTAATACAAATGGTACTGGAAAAATACCGAGTAGACTTGCTAAATGGTAAATGCACTACGAAGGGAACCTTTTAGGTTATTTAATATGTACAGAATACATTAGAAAAAATTTATTACAGAATTCTAACTGTGGTAGGAATAGTGGAAACCCATATGCAAATTAGATAGATGTCAGATGGAAAATGACATTACCAAATTTGAGAATTTCTTTTTACATTACTAATGTAGATTGATTTGTATAATAAAACAGGGTCTGGAAGGTTTTGTTACAGAGAGCATGGTTGTCTGTTGGAGACTTTTTTTAATGTATTTTTCTAGATTAACTGCTGTATATGAAATGTCTAATCTGAATAAAGAAAACTATAAGAGGTTAGAGATTTTTTCCCATTGGAAATGTGCATTTTGGTTTCTCATTTTGTTTTTGATTTTGCGTTTACCAGCATATTCTTATACCTCACTTTAAAAAAATCAACTGAATCCAATATTTTCTGTGGCAAATACATTTTCCTCATTTCACACCTTCTCTACTCCCTGCTATGTCAACAACCTTCACCACCCTTTCCCTACCTCTTATTTCTTCATCAGTTTTTCAAAGTGAATAATTTGTAACTAAAACTCCTTTTTCTTAGAATTGTATTTATGATTTACAGATTGACTTCACGGAAACAAATGATTTTTATATGATCTGTCTAAAAGCCTCTCACCTGAGTTTTGTGATAAAAGTGTTGTTTCTTGTTGTGGCTCTTATTTAATTGTTAACAAATGAAGCTACTTGACAACAGTGGGAAAGCAGATTATTTTGGGCAGGGAGTAAAAAGCCCTGAAATCAGGTTGTTTATATTTGCCCAAGGGTGACCTTAATGCTACACTATGCTTATGACTGGACTATAATGTGATTGTACACCAGGAAAATAATTAGATTCAAATCAGTGATTTTTTTTTCTGTTGGTAGTTACCAGACATATCAAAGTTTAAATTTGTCCTGTGTTTCTTGTTTCAAGGTACATATTTGTGTATGTGAAGTCTTGAATGTTGTATAAGTCTACAGCTAATCAGTTTATTATAATATTGTATGTGTGGTGAGATCGATGTCTTGTGTTTTCTTTATTTGTGAATTAAAAATTCTCACTTTTTTTTGTAATAACAAAACCAGTAATATTTTCCTGTGTCGACAGCTTGATTTTTAGTAGAAAATATATTAAAGACTAAAATAAATTGTCAGTGAAAGCTTATTTACTTCTAAGCCTTTCTTCAGAATGTCCATTAAATGGTAGTTGAAAATTATAAGAAAAATTACATTTAATCATTATATTTTAATTTAAAGGAGCATGCTTTTTTAAAACTGCTAACAATAAGAAATTTTACCTTTGACTCTGGAAAAACAGTTATGAAATATCTAAAAACATGTTATTTTTCATAGAGGTAAGTCCATAGACTTTTTCTTTCGCTCTCTTCTTTACGGGACTTGAGGGGGGTCCTCCAAGTGTTGCTTAGTTCTCTCTGGGGGTCCCTCCTGGCGATTCTCATGCAGTCAGCCAACTGGGGAGCAGTTTGGTGCTAGGGTCTTAGAATGTGGTCCTGCTCGTGCTGCAGTGTTGAGAACCCCCAGGTCCATGTCTGTGTGTGCTCAGGGACCATATGGTTTGGGGGATCTAACTGGAGCCAGCTGCATGCAAGGCAAGTGCCTTAACCCCTGTGCTAATCTCTCTGGCCCCTAGATTTTTGTTTGTTGGTTTTGTTTTGTTTTATGTAAAGCACAACTGTTGAATAATTCAGCCAAAGTCGGGTTCAAGCAGATGTTAAATACACTTACACATACATGTGTATATGTAGATATGTGTATACATATCATTGCTTATGTTCAAACAAAATCCACTTATAATAATGGCAGATATCTGGAATCCTTGGTGCTATTTTAGTCTCATTTCGTTAGCCCACTATATTTAGGTATTAAGATAGTAAAAAGGGATGTAATGAATAGTAGTAGAGTATTTCTCTTGCATGTGTGATACCCTTGGTTTGATCTCTGGTACCAAACACATATGCACAAAAGGATAACAATGAGAGGAAGAAAAGTTATTCTATGATCTGCCAAGAGGTTTATTTTTTTTCTCTAGCTCATGGGAAAAGTATCTAAATTTTTAAAGTGAACATGTCATTTTTCATGACATTAATTTCTCCAACATCTTTAAGCATTTGAAAATACAGAGAGGAGTCTACATGTTTTAGTAAAGAAGAAAATTAAAAGATGGACGTCACAACGTCACACTCTCACCGGTCTAATAAGTCAGATGCATCTCTGTGGAGTTTGTTCCTTTCTGAACTCCAGCCATCAGCTCTAATGATCCTGTTTTGCAGAAACCGTTTCCTAGTGCAACACTAAGGAAGGTGTTCAATAGGACTTAAGCCTCTCTCTTACTAGTGTTGGAGGTGGAGCACAGTTGTTTTTTAGACAGAGTTCTTATACAACTGATACAGTCCTACTAAATGCATCTTTAGTTTGAGACACCGCTCAGCCCCCCCATGAAGGCAAAGGGGGCTACAAAACAAAACCAGCGGTCCTAAAAATAATGGTGCATTAGAATCTTTTGAAAATTCACAAGCTGTAAACTCCGGCCAAGCAGTCAGACTTAGTATTCTAGAGAGAGGGGAGGTTCAGAATGCCTAATGAGACTTTCTGTAACTACTAAAGACTCGGGAGTTCTCCTCAAGAATCTCAATTAGTCTTCTCAACTGAAGTTTTGTGGACCAGTGGTGGCGGTAAATATATTCAGCTGGATCGAGCTTTTACAAATTAGCTTTATGTGAATATGGCACTTAAATGAACTCTTTCATTTCCTTCGTTGCTTCCCTTCTCCCACAGTGGAAAAAAAGAAAAAAGAAAAAGCACTTTTATGCTACTCTCATAAACAGAGCACTTGTAGAACAAGATAACTGTTGAGCAAACCACTTTTCATACATATTCAGAAAAGAATGGTTCTTAGGTTTGCACCCCTCCCTTTATTTTATTTTCTCAGTCAAGGTTTTCAGAAAAGCAATCATTGTTTAAATTTTTTTTTATTATGAATGCTGGTAGCCAGATCTTTTGGGCAGCTCTGGTGACTGTGGTTTTTACACTCAGAGTAGCACTTAACCTTGTAATGGTGAAATCCATAGTGACGCCAGAATGATAAGTGATGGTGCGGTGGTGCTCATCCCCAGACCCACTCTAAGGGCAAGTGAAAACCCAGCGCAGATTCCAAGGTCTCTTTTCTTCTCCTGGGCATTTGGGTGAGGGGATGGGGAGGACTCCTAAATAGTGCTCAGGAGGCCCAGCCCCCCCCCCCCCCCCCGTAATTGTCAGCTACAAAATCGGACCTCATGCAAGGCATGTGTCTTAATCTATATATTAAATCTACAGCTTCCTCTCCTGAGCATTAAAAAAAAATACATTTTGGCAGGCAAACTGGGAAATCTTAGACACTTAAGTTAACTGAGTCTCCCAGAGTGAGAAAAGTGGGACAGGATCAGTAGAGACTCTCACTCAGCATCCTTTATTTTTTAGAGGCCCAGGATGTTCATGAATGACTAATGCCATGTGACTAGTTAGTAGCACAGCATGATTAACCTGGAACCAAAGAAAAAAATATTTCTATTAATTACATTTGCTATGTAAAGTCCGTGATAAATTTAAGTAAAGTCTGGCGAGTTCAAATAATGCCATTAAATGAAGAGGCAGGTTACTTGAATTCAAGTGGAGGCATTTGTTTTTAAGCCAAGTTAATTTTTTGTGGAAGTGAAACTTAAATATTTCAAACATATACATCTATAAATCAGTCTTTCTGCTAGTGTCTCTTAATTTTAGAAGAATCAAACTATTTCTCTCTTCTTCCTGTCAGATAATCAGACTTTAGTGGTTGTATTGCTCCCCAGTGACATTCCTGAATAGGCCCCTGTATACATTCATCTCTATTATAAATATCTGCTCTCCCTGATGTTCTAATATTGTGCTGCCCAGTATTGTCCTCAGCCACATGTGGCAATTTAACACTGAAACTTAAAAATCCAGATTGCACTCATTTGTGGAATATAAAGTAACAGGATGGGAGATTTGCACCCAAGAATAGTAGAGATGAGTACCAGGAGGATTGCTCCACAGTCCGGAAACCGGCCTCACTTGCTGGGAGAAAAGGCAGTTCAGAGAGAAAAGGGCTCACCAAGTAAAGGATGCTTGGAGGATCCACTCAAGATGGGAGATGTGTACTGAGAGTCAACTATAGACTGAACATGTTCACCACTTAATACCTATATTGCAGTCCATAACACACTAAAGGAGAGAGCGAGTATAAAGGGGATCCAAATGCCACAGAGGCAGTGGGGGGGGGGGTGGGAATGGGAGGGGGATACTGGGAACACTGGTGGTGGAGAATGAGCACTGATGGAGGTATAGGTACCCGATCATTGTATGACTTTTGTGAGCACAAAAGTTTGTAAGTCTATGTCTCACGGTGATTCACTAAAATTTTTTTTAAAAAATTAAAAAAAAAACTTAAAAGTCCAGTTGGTGACATTGGCCACTGTTCAATTGTTCAGTAGTGTAATAGTGGCCATTGGGTTTGCAGGAATCTAGAACATTTCCATCCCAGAAATTTGTACTGGACAGCACTGTTCAAGTAAGTTGGTTATGAGGAATAAACATTTGCAGGAAAACAAGATTCTTAAAATGTGACCAAAAGTATTACGTACTATTTCAGAATTAGCACAGCGGGTAGGGCGTTCGCCTTACAAGCGGCCAACATGGCCGACCCGATTTCGATTCCTCCTCCCCTCTCGGAGAGCCCAGCAAGCTACCGAGAGTATTCGATATGCCAGACACAGTAACAACAAAGTCTCCAATGGAGACGTTACTGGGCCCGCTCGAGCAAATCGACGATCAACGGGAGGGCCTTTGCTCATCCTAGTCTCAAGAAATAACTATGGAAGAGTTTAAAATGTTAAATAGCACCCTTACAACTGGTGTGTCAGTATTTGACCTATTATGGGTTCATGTTGGGGGCTTTTAGAGTGGAAAATTATTTCATTTCCAGTACAACTCTATCAAAATTCTTGAAGTTTGGAGAAAACACTTTAGAAACTATTAGTGTCCATTGATATTGTTCTCTGGAAATTTCAGTAATGTACTGTGAGATCATTAATATTTCTAAGGTTTATGGTGGTATTTTTACATATATATATTTGGGGTTTTACACTTTGGTGGGAAAGATTTTTGTGAAATGAAGCTTTAGAGTCTGTGTCTAAATGATTTTTAACTAGACCTTTCTTTGGGAATCCAAGCTACTTCACCCTGATGTTTACTTCTGTTTTCTTAATAATGACATATAAGAAATGGTGAAGTCCTTGAAGAACATGCAAACAAAAATTTCCTATAAATGGTAACTGAAATCTAGCCCACAGGGAAATTGTCGGAGTCTCAAAACCCAGTGAGGCAGCACATCATTTCATCATATACTTGCTATGAAGTATGAACAGTATATATAGTAATTAGCATTTCCTGTTTTCATTATTATTTGGTCTATAGAAGGGTCCTACTCCATATGTATTCAGAGCAGGCAGTTCTCTGTATCATCAACATAATGCTCTGAAGAAGATGCCACTGATGATGTATTTTCAATTCTATTTATAGAGGTTAACATTAATATAAGCATCACAGTAACAACAAATCTCACGATGGAGACGTTACTGGTCCACTCGAACAAATTGATGATCGGGAGGACTGTGACCGTGACCTAAAGTTCTAGATAAGAAACTCAATAATTTTGTTTCTTCAGTCCCGTCCCATTAATAAAATGCTTCTGTTTAGACTTAAGCAGAGTGTAGGTAGGGAAAGTTTCTATCCAATAAAATCCCTCTGTTAAAATCATCCCAAAGACTCACAGGTGAGGGAACTTGTTATTGAGTAAAATTATCCCACATCTCATTAAGTACATCGAAACATGAAAGGCTTTTAGCTGGGGCGGTAGAGGAGGAACCACATCTGATGTTTCTTAGGGCTCTACTCAGGGAGCAGTCCTCATGAGCTCGACCATATGGGGTGCCAGGGATTGAATTGTGTTGACTGGGTGCAAGGCAAGCGCCCCACCCGCTGTACTATTGCTCCAGCCCCTGGAAGGGTATTTCCCTGTATCTTTCTGTCTCTTCCCCTCCCTTTATCTTCACTTTCATTTATCAGCATTGCTGTTTGACCATAGGATTT